TCACTACATAGAATAAAATTCCTATGTAAGAGGTAATGCTACCATTGCTTGAGAGCACGAACAACGGCATATAGCTCTTGTTCATATGCTAACCATCTTTGTCGTTGAGGACTTAGTTTTTCACTAAAGTATTAAACTATTCTCCCATCCTGAGATAGGACAGCTCCAATTCCCACTGCGGACGCATCCGTATCTACCTGAAAAGGCTTGTCAAAATCTAGGAAAGCCAACACGGGAGCCGAACTAAGAGCAGCTTTGATCTTCTCAAAACTCTTCTGTTGAGCTGCCGACCAAGCCAATATGGGTGATTTCAAACAGTTTGTGATGGGGGCCATAATGTTGCTGAATCCTTTTATGAATCGACGATAGTAATTCGCCAAGCCATGGAAGCTACGGACTTCCGTTATGGTCTTCGGAATCGGCCAGTCACGTATGGCCTCAAGTTTCTGGGGAGCAGTCTGGACACCTTCGGGTGTTAGCACAAAACCCAGAAAATGTACGCTATCTATGGCAAAATGGCATTTTTCCAAATTGACGAAGAGTTGGTGTTGGCGAAGAGCCTCCAGGATTGACTTCAGGTGATCAAGATGGGCTGAAAGAGAAGTACTACACCAAAATATCATCAAAATAGATAATGCAAAATTTGTCTAAATAAGGTTTAAGGACTTCATGCATTAGCCTCATGAAGGTGGACGGCACATTGCAGAGCCCAAAAGGCGTAACCTTCCACTCGAACAAACCTTGAATTGTTTTCAACGTCGTCTTCCATTCATCCCCCGGACGAATACGAATTTGATGATATCCACTCAAGTCTAACTTGGAGAATACCTTAGAGCCGTGAAGTCTATCAAGAAGGTCAGTGATCCTCGGTATTGGAAATCTGTACTTGACGGTGATACGGTTACTGTCAATGCACATCCTCCACCATCCATCTTTCTTCGGAACAATTAGCGCCGGGATGGCACACGGGCTCATGTTGGGTTGAATAAATTGTTTGTGTAACATATCCTAAATTATCTCCTGCAGGATCACGTGTTCACGGTGGCTCATCCTGTAATGCGGTAAGTTGGGGAGGGCGGCACTAGGAATGAATTCTATTTGATGCTGTAAATCACGGAACGGTGGCAAAGCTGCAGGTAGTTCGGAGGCCATAACATCTTGAAATGAATCTAGTAGTAATTGGACATCGCTGGGAATAACGGGAGCTGGGCACGTTACAACATCTCCAGCAATGAGAGCAAAAATATGATTACTCTCTTCCTTCATTTGAAGTAAAGAGTGACCTGAGATGACATTGGAGGTAATGAGATTGTTGGAAGGCTGCTTGCAACCGAATTGGCTATTTGGGACTAACTTGATTTTCCTTCCTTTCCAATCAATTGTATAAGTATTGGCTCGGCCGTCATGGACAGCTCCCGTGTCATACTGCCAAGGCCTTCATAGTATGATGTGACAGACGTCCATATCAAGGATATCACAGGATATCTGACATAGATAGCTCTTACCAATGGTAAACGCGACCTTGCACAGATCGGAGACCAGAAAACCGACTCCCTTCTTAATCCACCCGATTTTAAACGGGTTAGGATTCTTCGTTGTCTTGAGCTGTAAGGCTTGAACGACAGCACGGGAAATGATATTTTATGTGCAGCCACTATCTATAACTAGGTCACACACCTTCCAGTTCACGGTGCATTTCGTGCGAAACAAATTATTTCGTTGGTTTACTACAGTCTGCCTTGGTGCAATCAATACTTTCTCCATCACACAAATAATAGGTTCACCTTCATCTGCTGACACTTCCTCCACCAGGTACTCTGTTTCCTCTGCCAATCCCGTGGGTTCATTGTCATCTTCTGCTTCTACTAGCTGAGCTTGGTGTCTCATTGGACACTCATTGAATTTGTGACCCGGTTGTAAACAACAGAAACACTTGATGGTGGAAGGCTTGGCATACGGGTTATCCCGGGCTGGGGTCCGAGACTTAATTTGCCCCCTTGTATCAACTTGCGGTGTAGTCCCAGAAGAATTCGCAACAGGCTGTGATTTTGGAGCTGAATTATTTACCCAGTTTGCTCCTGAGATGTTTTCCTGAGTTGCTTTTCTCGGAAAATGGAACCGACCTGTTCGTTGGGATTGGGCTTCGGCCTTCAAGGCGAAATTAACGGCTTGGGATAGAGACCAAACTGAATTAAGTTCCAGCTTCTCTTCAAGGTGTTCTTTTAAACCACCAATATAACGCGCCACCAGTTGATTCTCCGATTCCGTCAGATTGTTGCGTGCGCTTAATCTGTAGAATTCCTCATTATAGTCCCTAACGGACCGCTGGCCTTGTTTGCAATTATGATATTGGAGATATAAGAGTTGTTCAAATTTCAAAATCAGTGGGAAGGAAATGACGCCTCATTAGTTGCTTCATACGACTCCAATTGCGAATGGCACCTTTACCTTCTCGCTGCCGATTTTGAGTTAGTTGCATCCACCAAGCATTGGCTCCTCCACCCTTAAGCCTACAAGCCACATATTTGACTTGTTTGTTGGGATTGATCTACATATAATCAAAAAAATTTTCTACAGCTCCTTCCCAATCAAGATAGTCTTCCATAAAAAAAATGGAATATCTAGTTTAATGCGGGCGTGCTCATTATCTGACCTCTGATGCCGATGATGTCTACCTCTATCTGGACGTGGAGGACGAACGTCTTCATCTGTTTCTGACATTTCAATTTCAGGTAGTATGCTATCCTCTGAATCTGAGCTATCCAGAAGCCTAGCTGGTAATCTCCTGTGAGCGGGTTCACCACGAACTGGATCCTCTGTCCCGGTAAGGTTGCCGGTGCGGCTTGTCGCGCAAAAGGATTCGCAGTAGCTCTAATCTGCCTCATTTCTTCCCGCATTTCATCCGCGAACCTGGCGAAAGAATTGAAAAGCTCGTCCAATTCCTTGGACGTTTGTTGGTGCGTATCCCACAACACATCCAGCCTCCGATCGGCGTCGGGTCAAGGGTGGCTACTACCTTCCGCCATATGCGACGAACCTAGCTCCGATACCAAATACTGGTGTAGTCGCTTGCGGCAAGGTAAAAACCAGGGCAGAAAAACACCAGGAATAACAAAACTGAAAGAAGAAGACTATCGTATATTCTACCTTTCTTCTCCGTTAATTACAGTATATAATTGCTACTATGGCTGGAGCTAATTACCACATTTGAGGTAAGCAAACTATAGAAAAAAGGACGGTAAACATATGCCAAAAAAAGTAAAAGTAGCAGTAAAGATAGTGGGTTGTTAGAGATAGTGTGGCGTATCTGGCTGCAGGGAACGGTTGCTGCGGATGGCCACATCAAGTAACCTTTTCTTTCTTTCAAAATTCCTTCTCAACCGCCATCCCTTTCCTTTTTGGCTTGCCTACTAGGTTCTGCAAACAACTGCAGCCCTTTCCTACAATTTTCGGCAAACACTACAACACCCTTACCTAATTTCAACCCTTCTACAACAGTCTTTTATTAATTTCAGCAAACCTACATCAATTTTGATCTATTACTGGGGAAATTATTCTGTGCGGAGACCGAACGCAGAACACCGTCCGGAGACCAACAAGAATGCGCCACATCAGTAGTACTGAGTAGTACCGAGCCGCGGTAACGAGCAATGGGTGACATGGCACATTGTGGTTGGTATCTGGTCGGCGATCGGCGTCCGCACAAAATAATTAATCATATTATAGACACCTGAATTCAGAAATTCAGCCTTTACAACAGAAATTCAGCAGCTCTTATCTATGCCAAATATCTGAATTCAGCAAATAAAATTTTCTTACCTAAGCTTATAAGCAGCTGCAGCAGCCTCAGTCAGAGCTCGTTTTCACTCCCCTTCTTTTGGATCGTGACCTCCACTCGTCAGAAGACCTCTAATTCGAATTACCAGAGAATGTTGTGGATGGGAGGGGAAATAAATGAATGTAAAGGCTGTAGCTTTTGTGCTTAAGGTACTAATATAATAATAATAGTAATCTTCCCCTAAAGCTACACTAACCGCCCCTACTCTCTCCCAGCCGCAAGATCCCAATTCAACCGTTGCATGCAAGCTTAAGTGGGACAGCTATTCAGCTATACGATTAGTAATATGAAGAAATGAATTAACTATTACTTATTTTTAAATTAACAGTTACCTAAATATTAAACAACTATTAATTTAATTGCTATAAATATATACAACTAGATTAATATTTTGAATATACTTCGATTTTTGATCTTGTATTTTAATGGGACAACTATTACTTATTTTTAAATTAACAGTTACCTATATACAACTAGATTAATATAGGATTCTTTCATCCTTCCAATACAACAGTCTTAAGGTACTAATACAACTAGATTAATATTTTGAATATACTTCTGTAAGTCAAAATGCTCGAAATTAAAAGTAAAATTTAATGAAAATAAGTTTAGAGTAAGTTTATGCTTATATTTATTTTGAATATTTTGGATATTATAGGATGCTTATATGAATTTATATATTTATATACTCTCTGTAATGTCTTTATACATTCATACATAATGTACAGAAAGAGAGATGGCTTAAATTGATTTAAGTGGATGCTCTGCCACTGCGGGTGGAATTTGCTTTTGATTTATGAGTATCCAATTGGAAACTAACACAACATAATGTGCACCTACGTAATTGTTTGTGTGCTAAAATTGATTTAATTTTTATGTTCTTTCCCAAACTGAGCCTTTAGATCTTGTATAGGACCACACCTGAATGGGTGTAAATCGATAACTTTGCATTTTAAAGACTAACTTGGATGGCTTTTAAATCATTGAACTTTTAACTAGGAATATCTTACATATGGATGCTCTACTCAATGCTTGAAAAAATGATTCTAATAGGCTAGCTATGTAATTTATTTGATTCTACTACGTAACTGGGGGGATTTTCTTCCATTTTATTTTAGATCGTAAATATGAACCTATTTAATGCCTTTTAAATTGCATATAGGGACGAGGTGAGGTTGATGCTGCACTAAAGTCCGCAGAACAAACAACAGATATTGGGGACTTGGCAAGGTTATACTGTTTTTATTATCTTGCTGTTCTATGTTTTCATTCTCCTGTTTATTCTCATTTCTTTTCTAATGTCTTTTCAGAGTTACGTGGACCCAAAGTTTGTGGAAATTATATTTCCTTGTTGAGCGCTGCTATAGATTGCGTGAACCAGTACTTTTAGTTGGTGATACTGGGGGAGGGAAAACCACAGTATGCCAGTTATTGAGCATTGTCCTGGGATCAAGAATGCACATTTTAAACTGTCACCAATACACAGAGACTTCAGATTTTGTTGGGGTGCGGTTGACTCTTTCTTCATTATTCCATTTTAGTATCTTTTTATCATGGATACAGGGCAGGCTGATTTTCATGGCATTGCTGATGTGATATCAGCTTCTAATCTACGCTTTTTATAGGGTTTCCATCCCGTAAGAGAGAGACCAAGATTAGCTTTGGAATTCAGACAATGTATTGGAAGGATGAAAGAATCCAATTTTTTTCTTCACTTGTCTGAGAATCTTGTATGCCTCCCTTAATCTCTTATGCACTACTGTTGATTTATTTTATGATATTTATGGATATGTTGTTGATTTTATGTTCTTGCAGGAGTTATCATCTGACATATCTCAGGCCTCTTTGACTTTATGCTATTTGAACAAAATAGAAGCTACATATAATGAAGATCCTCCATTATATCCTGTCGTCACAAAAGTTGATTTTGAAATTTTTGAGAAGATCAAGTTGGAACTCCTGGAACTTCATCACAGATGGCAGACCATCTTTATTTGGCAGGACGGCCCACTTGTTCAAGCAATGAAGGCTGGTGATCTATTCCTTGTAGACGAGATCTCTTTGGCTGATGATAGTGTACTAGAACGCCTGAACAGTGTCTTGGAACCAGAAAGGAAGCTGGTGAATGTCTCTTATTGATCGATTTTTTTTTACGACATGCATTAATTTGACTATGAAAACAAACATGTACATAATTAAGAATGAATATAGGAATTGTTTTAAGTTGTTTCTAATCTCTGATTGTTTATCATCGTTTTATCTTTACTAAATTACACGCGGGTACTTGTATAAATTGCATTTTACATTGGTACACATTTTCAAAAACGTTACATTTAGTTCCGAGGTTATGAATGACGTTATATTTGATACCCAATTTTGACTAATTTATTGATATTTTGTTTTTGATCCTGAATATCCTTTTTTTGATCCTGAATATCCTTATGTTATTAGCCCATATTTGGGATCTTATTGATCCTACGAGGCTTCTAATAAGAAAATTTTGTTTCCCTCTGTCCTTGTGGTGATTCCCTCGAATTTCTCTAGATTTAGGTCATATTCAAGAATCGATTGTGAAGAGGTGTTGCGAAACTTATACTATGAGAACTCCAATCATTCTCTTCCATATTTTACCATTTTTTTGGTTCGTACTTTTCAAGGTTTTTTTTGAGGGTTATGATGTCTTCTTTTTCAAAATTTTTGATGGTGGTATGAGGCTTGTATTTCTAGGTTTTTGGCATATCAATTTCAGGTTTTTGCAATGTAGCTTTTTTAGGATTTTTGATGTACTGATTTTTTTTAAATATTTAGGGTCTTGCTTTGAATCTAGCAGTTTGGATTTTCTAGGCTCGCATTTGTCAAGGATTTCTTGGTTTGCATCCGCTGAGGGTATTTCGTGCTTCATATCCTTTTTTTGAACATGATTTCAATATTTAATCAATTGAGATTTGCCTTTTTTTTTCTTCTTTTTCATCAAAATTTTCATGCAGAACAGACTTCCAAATTTTAAGAAGTTGGGAAGGGTATTGCATTCAAATAAATGTTACATTCACTTATAAGTCAAATGAATGATCACTCACTCGGAATTATCAATATTTTTACTATTGTTATTATACTAAGCGTGCCCAGTTTAAGAAACATAGGTCTATGGGGCGTTCTTGAAATTTCTCTCTACTTTAGGGATCTACTGGTGAATGACCCTTGAACTTTTATCTGGTAATTTGGCCTTTACTGCTGCTTTCTATTTTTCATATTGTATTTTTATCATACTTTATGAAGGCAAACTTGTATTTATCAACATGCTAAACGCGGAAAACCATTTTAAAGCACTGAAGCATCTTATAGGTGATACGCTGACATTTTGGAATTACATTTTGTTTTTCATTTTACTCTCTTTTGTTTGGTTTTATATTTGCCCCTTGATTTTTGGAGATATATTGATCATTCTCATTTATTTGCTCTTCATTTCAAAATAAAACATAATGTTTTTTATTTTTATCTTCATTTTCATTTTCATTTTTTATCCAGCTGCCATATCTTGCCTTGCTACTCTTATTTTCCATGAAGGATTTATCTATCTTGACTGTTATTTCATCTTTGTATGGAAATGCACAGTTATTAGCTGAAAAAGGGGGATCTATTCCAGAGACAATAACAGCTCATCCTAATTTTTTCATTCTTGCAACGATGAATCCTGGTGGTGATTATGGGAAGAAAGAACTTTCTCCAGCACTCCGAAACCGATTCACTGAGATATGGGTTCCGCCAGTTAGTGATGTTGATGAGCTTAAATGCATTGCCTTTGAAAGGTATAAAATCTCATTTTGTTAATTTAAAATAGTTGTTTTTATATGATATTTTCTCTATTTAAAATCTATTAATCTAGCAAGTGCATATTATTGATTAATGGAGTTCTTTTCTTCTGTTTTTTGTTCAGGTTGTATAAACCTGGTCTGAAATGCCTTGTAAATTGCATGCTGAATTTCTGGCAGGTATGTATGGACTCGCTCTTTTGCTCCTTGGATTTTTTTTCTATGGACATTTGTTTTTCTTGATGTTATATTCTTTATAATATGCTAATGAATCACATTTCATTAAAATAGTTATTATCATAAAGTTGATGTTCTCATTTGTTTAAGCCTTCTATTGGTGTTGAAATGCATATTCTTGGGCTGTGGTGGATGCAGAAGATTATTCCATTCTATCTTTAAAATTGAAATCATGTCCTCCATATTATCATAATTTTATCAACTGGTATATGGACATACACAACTTGAGCTACTGGAGAGTTTTTTTTTTTTTTTGCTTTTTATATTTTTATGGCTTGATGTTGTTGTTGTTGTGTTGTATATTTTTATTGTGCGTTCAAATTGATTTTTTTTTTGTTTTCATTTTTGGATTCTCTTTCCTTTTAGAGCCGTTAATTTTTCTAGATTTCCCTTTTTGCTGCGTGTAGTCTCCTCTATCTTTTTATTTATTCAAATTCTCTGCTTTTATGAATTCTATTTTTTTTGTTTGGGAGTGATGATTTTTCTAGATTTGCCTATTTGTTGTGTGCTGCATTTTGTTGAATACTTCTTTCTGATCTACTCTGCGTATGATACGAAAATCTAAAAGAGTGTACGTAAAGGATCACCCTGCAGCCAACTACAAGGTTCAGATACCTATGACGTGTACTAGATTTTGAAATTTGAAAGTCTAAAATGTGTATTTGTCTTGTGTCCAATTGCAAGGCATTCAAGCCTAATGACTATATTATGCCTCATTTTGGTAGACTAATATTTTAATTTGACGACATCTTTTGGAATCTCAGTCAGTTTTATTTGGCCTGTTTTGAGAGTTAAAATCATGCCATCTTTGGGTCTTTTTAATGCACTAAAATTTCAGTAAAATATATTTTAAATAACTTGAGATCTGCAGCAGGTCTTCTTTCTGCCACAAAGGTGTTTATTTTCTTAAAAGAGCGAAGAACAAGCATCTGGTCATGCATCATACCTGAGTTACCTGAAGGCTTTCTACCTTGTGTCTGTTGCTCTTCCTAAACAATGAATTTTCTCGAAAGCCAAATTTGAGAAATTAGAACTGGCCGTGCTTTTGTACCAAAAGATGTGCTGCATACGCAAATAATGCTGACCATGGTCAAAAATTATTTTAAGTTTAAAATCATATAAGTGGTGGTGGTTCTTGCTCAAAGCCTAAATTACCAATTTTGTTTTTCTTAGTGTTTCGGGATTTAATTTTCAAGGACAACTTCTATTTTAATAATGTCGTATAGTTTGGTACTTGTAGAGTTTGAAAAGGAATTGTCATCACATTTGTTTCTGGAGATTATTTTATACTGTTTTATGAAAAAGTCAAACTGTTTTTTGTACCTCCTTTTTTACATCCATTTTTCTCAAGGATTATGGTTGAATTATTTTCTACTTTTTTGTCTAGCTCGGAATGCTTCTTTATTTTTATTGTTGATTAAATTTTATGAGATTTTATTTTGTATAAAAATCACTATCATACAGAGGTTTAAAGAGTTTTTCTTAATGGATTTGAATAGGTTGTTTACTTTGCATCATATTCAGTTTATTTTTAACTTTTTTTATGCAATATTATTCATTTATCGTTTTTCACCATGTTATTCATCTAGTCTTTTTTTACAATCTTCTTGTTGCTTGCAACAGTGGTTCAACATGCTGAAAACTGGAAGGATGCTTACGGTGAGAGATCTTTTGTCCTGGATTTCGTTTATAAATATGACTGAAGGAAGCCTCGGCTCAGAACATGCATTCTTACATGGTGCCTTCCTAGTTATGCTTGATGGTCTTAGTGTGGGTAATTATTTTACTGACCTTTCACTCTTTATTTCATTTTGTATTAGAAAAAGATCAAAATAGTCCCTTAACTCTTTATGGACTAAATGGTCTCCAACTATATTAAATGATCATTTTGGTATCTCAAGTCCTTAAAAATGAATCAAAATAGTCCTATTGTGGAATTATTTTGGTTCCTCTTTAACGAGTTGGGAGACTAAAGTGGTCCTTTATTTGATAACTATTTTGATCTTTTATAAGAAGTTGAGGAATCATTTTGATCATTCTCTCAATTTTATACACTCATTTTTTGTTAGTAAACTTTGCGATATAAACTTTTGCTTGTGTGGAGTGAATACACTTCCACTGATAGAAATGCTCAATTTTGTATGCATAGCTATTATTTGAACAATCTAAACTATTCTATAATTTGTTTGGTTGATGCTATTTTATAAGGGCATAAGATCCTCATACGGTTTGGGTAGATGATGTTGGATTGTATCACTTTGGAGGGTGTGAGAAATGGTTGTAGACCTTTCTTTAATATGAGAATTGATGGGAGAAGAGCGAGAGGAATATCCTAGAAATTTTTTCTTGGTGGCAGGAGATGTCAAAATGGGTTTAAAGATTTTAGGCTATTGATTTCTCATGTTCATAAATCCCAATGACTAATTAAATCTCAAGAGCTATATTTGAGAGCACTTTCAATTACAATTATTTTTTCTTGATCCTAATTTAGCATAATGGGGCTCTATGCAACCTTAGAGTCTAAGGTTTTCGTTTGAGTAGATCTAAAACTAAACACACGAGTGTAATTTTAATATTAATGAATCTAGTGTTGATTGTGACATTGGGTGATCAAGTTATTAAAAAGATTGCGCATTTTAGATATCTCAGGTGTATTGTTTAAAGTGATGGTGAAATAGATAGGGATATTTTTAGTAGAATTCAATTTGAATGGTTGAAGTGGATGAATGCATTATGTCTGTTGTGTAATAGAAATGTATCTTTCAAACTTAAGAGAAATTTCATAAGATGGCTATAAGACTTGATTTGCAATGCTTTATAGTGCAAAATATTGGCCTGTAAAGGAAAAGTATAAAATTAAGTTAAATATTGCTGAGATGAGAATGCTCAGGTGGATGAGTGGCTTGGCATTTTGATATATATTGCAAAATGAGTATATATGTGAAAAAGTTAGAGTAGCTCCAATGGTAAATAAGATTAGAATGATTTGGTCATATAAAACATTGGTTTTTCGATGACACTATTAAGGGATTATTAGATGTGTTAGATACGGTCTATGTTAAGAAAGGTAGATGTAGATCTAAATAAACTTGTTTAGAAAGTATTGAAAATAACTTTTTTATTAGATTTAATTGAGATTTTGACTCTTAATATGACACAATGGAGAAAAAAAGGATCCATGTTGCTCACCCCGCATAATAGGATAAAGGCTTGTTATTTTTTTTTGGAGCTCTGTGCAACAATGATGTGGAAATCGGACCATGGAGAGTCTACCGTAGGAGAGACCGACGATCTAAGGCCGTGATTGAGTCGTTATATCTCTAGTTTTTGTTGTTTGTATGAGATTTATTTATGTTATTAGTTTGTTTCTTGTTTTGCCCTCTACTTATGTGATGTGTCATGGGCATTGTTGTCTTTTGGTTATTCCCTTTGTTTGGGCATATATATATATATATATATATATATGACTCCCCCTCATGTAATGTTATGATGTTTATGTTATAAAATTCTGATTTTGCGTGATCTTGTTCTCTTGGAGAATTGAGAGTGTGAGCATGAGAAGTCCTTGGAGAAGGCAAAGCATCACCCAACAGCCTTTGGGCTCTTGGTTTTTATCTAGCCGAACGCCCAACCCCCATCTCCTGCACCAACCGAGCGTCTCCTACCTCCACTGGCAGCCCCTACAGTTCACAAAATTCTGCCTCACCACCAACAACAAATGCCCTTTCATCTTCTCTTGTGACCCTTAGTATTCCAACATTAAATGCACTTGAACCCTTGGTATTCCCAAGCATAATTAGTGTGGAAATCAATTCGGATTTTCATTTAATTTGTGGGATTTTCAAACCACCTTTCCATCTTCCCAAGCAACCCTCATTAAGTTTCAACTTTTTCCCTTCCAAAGCCAAACATTAATTCCCCACTTACCCATGCACAATTAATTACAATTCAAAGTTTGTAATTAATTGGTGAAACTTCCCTTAATTACTTTTCCCTAATCCCTAGCCTACCCACTCCTCTTCCCATGTGCTGCCATTAGTTCCCAAGCAATTCTCTAAGCTCCACTTAATGTCACCTTGACTACCTTCCCCTTTCCCAAGCTGGCCGACCCCTCCCCCTTCCCTCTTCCCTCTTCCACTTCATTTCTTCTCCAAGTGACTACTTTTCTCTCCCATATCAGTCACACTCAAAGGAGAAAACAATGAGCATTCACATTTAAATTCAACCAACATCAAAAAGGAATCCTATAGAAATCTGAGAGCATTTTGCAAGAGAAGCAAGTATATGAAGATAGCCATCAAGGAGCCCAACTATATTATTATTGAGCTAAGTATATAAATCATTCTCTTCTTAGCCAGATATTTGGTTTGTCTTCCTTCTTGGTAACATCGTTGCAAGTTTGTTATTTTATCCACTCTTAGTTCTACTTAAATTTGAGAGAAAGGACCTCATTTGCATTGTCCTTTGTTGAATATTGTGCTTGTGCCGATTTACATGAGTTATGTCTCAATTATCTTATCCTTTGCAATGTCAAGCCATTACATGCAAGTGTTCAAGTAACTTCGATGATGTTGTAGTTAGAACTTTTGTAAGTGTCTAATTGTAGCTTGTTATCCAGATACCCAATATTATTGATCCATATTTTTTGCCACAAAAGTTAAGCATGCTGGAAGGTATTTTAGCATTACACAATATACTAGTCAATTTGCTAGAGTAAATTTCAAGGGCGCATCAAAGAGCAGATTGACAATAGGAAGTTGGCGTCTAATATTCACGCTTGCTATGGAGATGCTTGGAGGAATTTGCTGCCGGGTTTTTGTTACTTATAAAGATACGCATTGAACTGTGATATCAAAACCAATGGAGAACAAACTCTCAAAGTGTAGTGGTTTGCTTCTCGATTTTGTGTTTAGATGGATTTTTAGGATTCATGTAGCCGACCCCACGTAGTGGGATAAAGGCTTGATGTTGTTGTTGTTGGATGGATTTCTAAAGTTAGGGGAGAGAGGGTTGATAATAGATTGGCTTAGGAGCAATTTGAATTGTGATAATTAAGCATATCTTTTTTCAGGAATTGAAAATGGTAAATTGTGAGGCCTTAAGTGGGAATGTAGCGTATCCTTGTTTTCTTTTCTAGCTAATTCTTTTAGGTTTGAAGGCAAATAGAATTGTTCTAAGCATCATTTTAAGATTATGCGTTTTTTTTTTCTTTTTTTTTGTTGATGTTCTTTTTGTGCTATCTGCTTGGATCGAGGGAGCTAGATGTCTTGATAAGTTGTCTTTTATTTTTTTTTTACGTCTTGTGATCTGAATATTGCTAAATAGTAGACTTCATGCACTCATACTGCAGTTCCAGTTGGATGTTATCATGACATGATTCTTCCTTTAAATAATTGCAAGTTACTTACTTTTGGCTTGGCTTCTTTCTATTTATGCTGATTTTTATTTGATACCCCCTTTTTTATGCTGTAGGTTTAACTAAGAGATAACAGCTATTAATTGAAGTTGATTTATGTTTCTATAGTATATCTTATTCTTGCATGTAACATGCTCTATTGAATATTTTCAGGCACTGGAATGTTAAAAAGTGAGGCTTTAATGTTGAGAGAATCTTCATTGCATCTTCTTATTGAGGAATTGAAGGTTTGTTGGTCTATGATTTGCAATCGTATAATGATAATCTTTTCCATGATTCTTTGTGAAAAATCACTGAATTATTTCTTGTAAGGAGTAAATGACAAACGCTTGGATGGTACTGTCACTGTGGAACATAACCATGCTATAAGCCTTGATTATTTGATCTTGTTGGATAGCTTAGAAGCTCCTTAAAATATAATAATTCAAGTGTTTGTGTATCACATCAAAATCTTCACGCATAAGATGTAGCTAAGCCTTGTGGTTTTCTATTTGTTGGGATAAAACCAATTCTGATGAAGTACAATTGGTTGATTATTCAGTGAAATTAGAAATCGAATGCCCACTTTTTATGGGCCATTTACAAGTGAAAAATCAAACTACAACAGAGCAAAATTATCTTCAATTTATAAGTGCTAACATTGGCTATTTTCTTAACACATCTATTCGAAGTGTTTAAGTATATGTAGTTGTTTCCAGCTTTTAATTACAATAAGTATTTTGTTTCAGAAAGATCACCATGCCTTAAGTCATGGAGAGTTTCCTCGAGTTCAAAGGCTTAAAAAATATATAAATTTTTTTTTTGTTGAAGTGGGTTTCTTTTATTGCATCTTATACTGCCACGTAGTTTAATTGTACATAGAGTTTTCTTTCATGTATTTTATCTTGAAATTGATTAGCCACGACATTACCATGTTGTTTTCCAAATTCTAGATGTTGAGCAGTGTTTGATAATTCGAGGTGCAGTAGTCTTTATGAGTTATTCTTTCTTACCTTTGCCGCATATGTACTTCAAGATGCATTGCGACCACTAGATGGATTTGTGGCTTTTGAGTTTGTGGCATGTGTCTTGAATGATGGGAATTTCTTTTCTACCTAAGTTGTTGGTAAAGCTGACGCTTGGGTTGTCATTAACTTCTGCATTGGGCTATCCTTTATGTTATTCATGTTGTTCTTCGCCATTGAAGGATTCAGGTGGAGTTTTCTGTCTTTGATACCATATTGAAAAATCATAGAAGAGGGGACAAATGTATAATTTTGTAGCTTTGGAAATTCAAATAGACAGAGACCTTATTTAACATGGTAGGACATTCCCCCCTCTTCACCAATTTACCATCAACATATCTTATTTGATCCCCTTAGTTAGGAAATAGAAGAGTTGGACATATTCAACATACAATAACCTTCCTAACTACCACCACATGGTAATACAAATATGGAGATAACCTTTACAAGACTGATTGTCCACTGTCAGCAAGAAAACAAATCCCATTAATGCCTTATTACTACATACAAGAATTAGGAGATTCTAGCAACAACGATCCTTCCATTAACAGCAGCAAGCGCAACATGGATCCTAATATGAAGTGGATGCAATTTCCTCAAAATCACGAACGACAATAAAAAAGAATAGGAAGAAGAATACACCAAGACTCTTTTTATTGCAAGATATATGAAAGAAAACAACAATATACAGTTGGGTCTTCAATTGGAGAGGAAGATCTTGCTATCCCAAATCCCTAGCTCCCGTCTAGAGCCCCCTTAAGAAAAGACTACAACAAACACAAATCACCTGATCCTGAAATCACCCAATTGTTAGCCTTAATACAACAACAACAACATCAAGCCTTTGTCCCACTACATGGTGTCGGCTACATGAATCCTTTTCTCCATTGTGTCATGTTAAAAGTCAAATTCTCGTTTAAATCTAATAAAGAAAATTCATTTCTAATATTTTCTAACCAAGTCTTTTTAGGTCTACCTCTACCTTTCTTAACATAAGTCAAATCTAATACCTCTACTTTCCTAACCAGGTCATCGGAAGGCCACAATTTTATGTGACCAAATAATCTAAGGTGACTGACTCTCTCTAATCTTATCTTCCACTCGCGCTACTCCAAACTTTTCAAGTATATGCTCATTTCGTATCCTATCTAAGGGTAAATCCACTCATCCACCTAAGCAGCTCTCTTTCCCTAATAATTCCCCCTCAAATTTGAATTCAAATTCGATCTCTTTCCTTAATTAATTTCCTTCCAATTGTAATTATAACTTTCATGAATAATCTACATTGATTCCTCCTTTCATATTGAATTAAAGCTTTATTGGATTTGGGCCCCAGAAGGAGGGCCGAACCCCCCTTCCTATTCTCAGCTTAGTTTGGTTCTACTTAACTTGCAGAAAGCTCCCGCCCTCTCGTGGCCTGCGCGTAACAATGCTTTCCCCTCCAAGCACAGGATGGTTGTCGTCAGTCTCTCCTTCTTCGTCAACCTATTGACGACAAAGTACCTTTTCATTATGTAGATTCACCCGTGTGCATCATCTCCCTCAAAAACAGTCATCTTCAGCTTCCGCACCCTCGAATCTCCTCCGTTTGCTTTTTTTTCCTCCATAGCCTCCCATTCCCCAAGTGGGTGGTCCCCCCAACCCAAAATATCCCGATCATCTCTTCTACCCAAACCCTTTGTCAAAATCCCCCATCTTTTCAAATCAACACCCCTCCTGTCATAATCAATCATTCTTCTTTCAGATTCAGCACCCTTTCGTTCATACCCAACCCCCTCACACCTCTTCCAATACCTTATACCTGTATCCTCCCTAGGAATAGTCTCTAGAGGAGGTTTTCTCTCTTATCCCTCTAAGATCTCCACCTCTTGTTCTCCGCCTCTCCTTATCAGATTAGAGTTTCCCCCACTCCCTTGGCTGCGATGGCTTTCCTCGCCTTCAACGACGCCATTTTCGTTTGGCCTTCAAGAAACTTCTTCATCATCTCTTCCATGATGACAAATTTCTCATCGATCTTCTCGTGGACGGCTGAAATTTGAGTTGGAAATATGAAATTTTAGATTTCAATTGTTCGATCTCCCCTTCCAACACTTATACCTTTTTTCCTGCATAGGTACTCGGATCTAGGCTCCAAACAAAAAAAAAAAAATGATACGAATCTAAACAGTAGAAATCATTAAGAACAGAGAGAAAAATGCAGCAGAATTCAGCAATGGAGACTTTTATTTTAGCTCAGGAAATTGCTCTGATACCAATTTGATATGAAGTGGATGCATTTTCCTCAAAATCAATGATTGAAAATAAAAATTAAGAAGAAGAACACACCAATACTCTTTTCATTGCAAGATATATGAAAGAAAAAAGCAAGATATAGTTGGATCTTCAATTGAAGAGGAAGATCCGGCTCTCCCAAATCTCTAGCCGCCGACTAGAGCCCCCTAAAAAAAAGACTACAACAAACAAAAATCATCTGATCCTGAAATCACCCCATTATTAGCCTTAAATAGACTCTCTTAATTCCCTCCCAAATCAGTCCTCTTTCACTAAATAGTTTTCCCTCATATTTGAATTCAAATTAGATATCTTTTCCCTAATTAATTCCCTCCCATTGTAATTAAAACTTTCCTGAACAATCTCCTTTGATTCCTCCACCTTTCATACTAAATCCATTGGCGTGTAGAAATTTTACTTAGGTTATTTGGGCTTATCCAATGAAATGGAAGATGCACGATTATGATGGTTTGACTGAATTGATTTAAGATTCATAGGTAGATAGTGGGAAGGTGAAGGGTAACCTGGCTGGAAGAGCTGAATAAAAGCTCACATAATCCAAAGTTAACACCACTAGCACCATTCAACAATAATGAATGGAGAACATGTTCATAAAATCTATATCTCAAATGGTTAGGGTATTTAATGATGTGATGATTTTGATCTTAGCTTGAAATTTTTTTCCTTGATTTTATAATTCTATCTCTGAAATCTTCATCTTGATCCATATGTTTGGAAGCTTATTTTACCATTTATGTGTGTGAGCAGGTATCCGGTTTGGGTTTTAGCAACTCTCGTTTTTATGAAATGGATAACTATGGTTGGGGTGATTTTATGAAGCGTACAGACGCATCATTAACAAACAATGCTCCTTCTGAAAACATTTTCGGAATCGATCCTTTCTTCATAGATAAAGGTAACTAAGTATCCAATGAAGTATTCTGTCGACCTTACCTTCAATCACTTCACATTATGTAGTAAAATTTACCGTTGCTAGTACAAGTGACTTCGTTGTTTTTGTATTAGCAATTTAGTATTTTAGTATTTGGAATAATTTGCATCAAGTTCTCTTTTTCTGTTTTATGTGTGCATATTTATTATTTTGGAAGGAATTTGAATGTCTGCTGATCTGCAACATTTGTGCAACACAATATAAGTCACTATTCTTACTAACCATTATAATTTTATTATTCTTACTAAACAGTCATTGTCTATTCCTTCTTCCTTATTTACCCCATAAACTTTTGTATACATTTTTTTTTTGTATATTTGTCTCTGTTCGAGAAACTTAAAATATCTTTTGTAATTCATATTTTCCTTGAACCTGCTTATTTAACTACATAATCCGCTTTTCTTGAAGCTCTAGGCATATATTGATGATTTGATGGTTTCTAGGTAGCATCATTCTTTGAATGGTCTGCAGTAGGTGAAGATGTTTTTGAGGGACTTGAATTGCATTTTAATATAATATTTAAATAGATCTACGACAATATTTGATATTGGTACTTCCGTTTTTTTGGTTTAATTTTATTTTTTTCTAGTTTGTTTGTTCTTATGTTGTTTTGCTTTTGTTTTGTTTTAATTTTCTAAGAAAACACATCACATTTTAGTTTAAGTAAATGTTTTTTTTGGGTTTTCTTTTGCTAGTGAATTGGCATTTGTGTCCTTTGTTTTATGCATCAAGTGTTATTTTGATACTAGATGTCTTAGATAGGGTTATCTGCTACAAGCTTTTTTCATTAGTTTTGACCAGTGTTTTTTTGGTCATATATGTTGATATACTTGTTAAAGCAGTACATGGTATGATGGAACTCCTTGAGGGAATTGCTATTAACTTACTTTGAACCTTTTCTGGTGATCCTTATCTTATCAATCTTGTTCTTGTTTTCAATTTTATTAGGTCAAGATAACTGTAAGGATGAAGGTTTTGAATTCAGGGCACCTACCACTCATAGAAATATTTTGCGAGTTTTGCGTGCTATGCAACTTCCTAGGCCTGGTACATATTTGGATGAGTTGATTTACTTAACAATTTACTTCTCTTGAAGAATGCTTATAAAGAGATATTTTTATTTTTTTTCGTTAGTCCTATTGGAAGGAAGTCCTGGTGTTGGTAAAACGAGTCTAGTTATTGCACTGGCACAACATTCTGGGCACACTGTGGTGCGGATTAACCTCTCTGAACAGGTTCTGGATCTTTGACTTTATCTATTCATTGTCGAGTTTATAATTCCATGGAAGTGACCTGTAGTTACATGTAATCATTTTCCAGACGGATATGATGGATCTCTTGGGCTCGGACTTGCCAGTTGAGACTGAGAATCGAATGGAATTTTGCTGGGTTGATGGCATCCTTCTCCAGGTTTACTATTTTAAGAAGTAATTTCATATATAATTTTTTGCATGTGCTGCTGATATGCATTCTTATTTCACTTATTTGGCAGGCATTAAAGAATGGATATTGGGTACTACTAGATGAATTAAATCTTGCTCCACAATCTGTATTAGAGGTATTTTTAATTTAATTATTATTTTTGCTCATTGTTTTTTAAACTTATATATTGATTTGCAAACTATCACAACTCGAATTTCAGGGTCTGAATGCTATTTTAGATCACCGTGCTGAAGTTTATATTCCAGAATTGGGCATAACATTTAAATGTGCAGCATCATTTAGGATTTTCGCTTGTCAAAATCCCTCATCTCAGGGCGGTGGGAGGAAAGGCCTTCCTAAGTCTTTTTTGAATCGCTTTACTAAGGTTGGCAAAGTTTTAGAAGAAATATGAAATACAGTATGAATATAAAAAATAAAGGAATAATAAATACAGTGGTTCTTTATTGATGCTTTCCTGTGATACAATTATAGGTTCATGTGGATGAGTTGGCAGCTGAGGATTATCTTTTCATCTGTCAATCAAGATATCCATCAATCCCATCATTACTTCTTTCTAAATTAATTACCTTTAATACTCGACTTTATGAGGATACCATGGTACATTGTAAGTATGGTCAAGACGGTTCTCCTTGGGAATTCAATCTGCGGGATGTCATTCGGTCATGTGAGATTATACAAGGTAAAATTGTATTCCTTTTTTGTAAATCATTTCTGATTATAAGTTTTCCCAATATCTGCATGATTTGGTGTAAACATCTAAGGTTGACTATTTTCGACATGAAGGTTCTCCCAGTAATGCCATGTTTGAGAGCTTTTTAAACATTGTATATCTTCAGAGGATGCGCTCTGCAGAAGATCGAAGAGAAGTTTTGAAGGTTTATGAGGAGGTCTTTGGTCTGAAACCTTCTATATCTCAATTTCCAGAAGTATGCATCAATCCACAATATTTGGTTTTTGGTAGTGCTCGTGTTGAAAGAAATCATTGTCAACCAACAAAGGCTTTCAAGAGTCAGCTCAATCTCTTGCCAGGGTTTTCCCAATGTTTGGAAGCAATCACTCATTGTGTACAGAGGCAGTGGTTGTGCATTTTAGTTGGTCCATCTTCTTCGGGGAAGACTTCGGTGATACGGTTGCTAGCTCAACTGACAGGAAATGTCTTGAATGAACTGAATCTTTCTTCAGGGACAGATGTTTCTGAATTGCTTGGTTGTTTTGAGCAATACAATTCCTTCCGAAATTATAAAGCTTTAATGTCCCAAATTGAACGATATGTTGATGAATATTTTAGTATAGGGCTGGAGACAAACTGGAAAGATTTTATACATGAAAGGAAGAGTCTGTTTGCAAAGTGGTTTTCTTTCTTTTCATCCCATAATCCTTCAAAGTTTACTTCTTCATTTGCCTCTTCATGGATGGGTGAATCCTCCAGGTCCATTGACCCTTTAGTTGATATAATTAAACAACTACAACATGATCTTAACATGTTCTCTTTGCCCGTTTCTTATTCATGCACGGATCTAGATAAATCTCTAAAAGTTATTCAAGTTTTACATAAAAACCGGCTTGTGCAACCTTCAGCCAAGTTTGAATGGGTAACTGGAAATTTAGTCAAGGCCATTGAACTTGGTGAATGGGTTGTATTGGATAATGCAAATCTCTGCAACCCCACAGTATGTTGACCACCCTCAGTGCTTCTGTTATACTTGATTAATTCAGATACTAATGTTTATATAATGATTCAAGTTCTTTGCATTCTTAATGGTGATTAGTATAATTTCTTTTATATAATTTGCACTAATCGATGTCATTTATTTTAGGTCCTCGATAGAATCAACTCTCTGGTAGAACCAAATGGATCTATTACAATTAATGAATGTGGTCTTGTCGATGGGAAGCCTTTAGTACTTGATGCTCACTCTAGATTTCGGATGTTTATCACTATAGATCCTAAATATGGTGAAGTCTCCAGAGCAATGCGGAATAGAGGGATTGAAATATTTATGCTCCAACCAGAGTGGTTACCAGTCGAATTAAACACCACATTTGAGGACATGGAAGTAAATAGTGTGAAGAGGTTCTTAACTCTATCCGGCATTCCCATGCACAAAATGGTATTGGCAATGAGTGAGGCACATTTGTCTGCAAGAACTGCAGGGTTAAATCTTGGTGTCCGCATCACACTTCTTGAACTTGCTCGCTGGGTTCAGTTGTTCCAGCAGCTTATCATGAATGGGAATGATCCCATGTGGAGCCTTCAATTAAGTTGGGAGCATACTTATCTAGCAGCATTGGGTGAGCTGGGAGGGATAGAGGTGGTTACGCAGGGGAAGATTTCATACTTGTCTGATACTGAATTGTACAGAATAGATCCACTTTCAGGTTGCTCTTTATCATTAGCTGGTGGATGGCCATTGCCCTATACACTTAAGAATTTTGTGCACTACTCAAGGGAATCCTGTGTACAACAAAATTTCTTGTATTTGGAGTTCCTAAGTTCTCAATGTGCTTCTTATTGCGTAAGTAATACTGCTAATTTGTCTTCAGGGAGCGAGAGACTCTTCCCGGCCATTTTACCAGTAGAGATGCTGAATCAACATTTATTCCCAAAAGTTCAGCATGGTCATATGCAGGCGATATTTGATTTGGTACAAGCTAATCAGATGTTATTCTTTGCTGCTAACTGGACAATTGAACATGCAACAGAAAGTGATCTTGATTTGTATATTGGGTGGTTTAGATGGTACCATAAGAAACTGCAGCCATATTGTTGTTTCTTTGAGTCATTCTGTATGATTCTTGAGCAGGAAAGGGATCATCCCATTTGGAAGTGTATTCGAAAGTGCCGGATGGAGTTGCTTGCTCATAATGGAATTAACATTGATATGCATCCCATTCCACTGCTTTCACTGAAGTTAGTGGATTTTTCTATTTCAGACTCACTCCTTTTGAATAGCCAACATTGTCTTATTAATGCAATTCATTGTGTAAGCTTGTTGAGGCGTACTTATCAACAGTGGAATACTGAAATAGCATTTTCATCAACTGAAGATACATTCAAGTGTGCAATGCAACGAATATTGTTCTCTCTGAGGCAACTAGAAAGTGAGGTGCTGAACCATATTACAAACTTTAATGACCTGTTCCATGAATACTTGTTCTTTGTAGAATTGCATACTCTGTTCTGGGAAAATGTTCAATCATCTCATTTTGAACACCTGCCTACAATTTGGAGTTGGCTAAAGAAGAAAGCAATAAAATTTCAGCCAAGATTTCCTGAAGCTGTAGGTGCATTTTTGGTAAGTTTGGTTCTGATCATGTTTGCACTGATTTTCTTGGCAAAGAAAAATTTTGACCTGTTTTTATTACAGGTTGAAGGTCTAAATCTTAAATTTGCACCTGGATGGAAATTTGACTACACATCACCCACATTATGGGTGCATGGGGGGCATCCTTTTATTCCATCCTCTTCAGATATATTTTACAAACTGAAACAAATAACTGGAATTTGTGAGGCAATTTGGCAAACACGAAGGCTGTCTGAGGAAATTCACGAAGGTATAGATTCTTTTGAATTATTGTAGTTGATTTTTCTAGCTCAAGTAGATTTTACTCATTTTATGCATGTGCTTTCAGATGAAAATTCAAAGCTTGATGCTATCATTTCAACCAATACTGATCTTAGGCGCCTGGCAACAGAAGGTGATTGTTATGTTATACATCTTCACATGTGCAAAAGCTTTTTCAAAGTTTCTAAGATTTTTAAATATGTTTTGTTTTGGCATTTTTGGCATATTATATAATGATGATACCATTTTGGGATATATATATATATATATATAAGTATCTCTAAATCAAAATCAATCTAATTTGATAAAATGATCATGTATAGCTTTATAATTATTAACCTAGATTAACATGGTATTGGAAGTAAACTTTGATTAAATTATACATGATCAAAATCTAGTTTAATAGGTCAGCAAGGGCTAGAAATCAGGTGGATAAGAGAGCAGAGGCGGACGTAAGCCTGGCTTCCGTGTGGTTGGGGACGGAATCGCGGGAGCATGAGGCTGCGAGCATGGGTCAGCGTCGATCTCACGTCTTTGATCCTACTTGCAAGATGAGTGCGGCAGGAGGCAGGAGTCGGGCCGCTATCGAATGGGAGAGAGATCAGGAGAGGGTTAAGGCTTCAACTACTTTGGTTTACTTCAATTGTGTCCCTGAGGTAAGTTTGAATAACTGCTTTTATATCGTATAAGGTAGTTACATGAGTTGTTGCATCGTCTGAATGAGCGTGGGTAGTGGGAGGCGTCGTTTGGGAAGATCGTGTGTGGGTGGAATTGATCGGCAATTAGAGGTCAACAGATTAAAAACAAAAAATGGGAGAAACTGCCGCAGAGAGTGTCAAACCTTCCTGACTTCCAATCCGATCCAATAGGGCACGTTCGAAGTAGGCTTTACCTGCGACTTCACTTACGAATGTTCGAAGAAGGCAATGAAGGTTTAAGGACGTCGAAGAAGGCAATGAAGCATTAATGACATGTCCGAAACTTTACATGCAGTGCTTAGGCGAAGTCGAAGAGGAGTCGCATTTGAAGTCGAAGAAGGAGAAGGCAGTCAAAGTCCAAGAGTAGGAACGTAGACGAAGTCGAAGAGCATGAACGTAGGCGAAGTTGAAGAGCATGAATGGACGCAGGTGAAGTCGAAGTGCAGGGAAGACGAAGTCGAATAGCACGAACGAAATGAGAAAGACTGATATTTGTTTTAGGTTTTAATTTTTTATATAAGCTTTTTAAGATACGAACGCCTCGTTGAAATGAGGTGAGGCGTGCCTCAAGGTGCTCTTCTGCTTATTTGAGGCGTATGCCTCGTGTATCACGTCCAAAGCGCTCGCCTTGACGCTTAAAAGGGCCAAATTGTGCCGCGCTCTTGTTGTGCAATTTTAAACCATGAGTAGGTTCATGCATAATTTTGTTATATGGAAAACTTATAATATTGGCAGGGAAGGATAGTGTTATAGATCCGTTTCTGGCAATAATGATAATGGTTCCATCTGCTATTTCTATGTTATGGTTCCTTGGCAATATATGTAGGAAGAGAATTTGGTTGAAGAGTTGGTAATATAGTATGTTGCTCTTGAGCCTATTATTGAAATTTCATTTGGACTAGTTTCAGAAGCACAAGAGTGGTATGAAGAGGAATACTCACTTGATTGAGCCATTATGCACATACCCATTGGTTTATCAAATGCTTTCTAGATTGTGCATCGTTTTTCTATTTCTACTTGCTTTAGTCTATGTCTATGACAGGTTCTTCTATGGAAGTTGTATTTGCTTGATGATATCTTGAATAGTTTTGGTATTTAAACTCTTTTTTATCGTATGGAGGCTTCTCCAGAAATCTCCAACGTATTCGTTTGTATATCTTGCCTATTTAGAAAAACTTTTAAACATATTTTCTTGTTTGGATTGTGGTGGGCCCATTTTAGGCTTGTGTGGCTTAGTTTTGCATGCATTTTACATATGGAAAACAATTAAGGCAATGTTTTCACAGGCAGGTGGTTTTCTAACATAATGGCACATCTCCCTTCTTTACTTGTAATAGTAGTTAAAGTCCTTATTTAGGTTGGACATTGAGTCTTTTCTAAGAATTTGGATGCGTATTCGGTCATATTTAGCATTTGTTCGTGCTATAAATTTATAAATTCTTTCCCCTCATATAAAAATTTGTAGATGTGTTGCATCTTTACTACATAATATTTTGATGCACAGATAGTAATTGAGTTATAGCTGTAAAATTTTAATTATATCATAGTAATTGATAACCAAAAGAGTACTTTGTTTCATGGTGGGAATTTTTTATCTCAATTTCATATACTAAGAAGGCATCACACGCTCCTAGGAAATGTTTGCTTCGTTGCTTCTTAGATATCCTTGTCTATTGTTGGGAACATGTAGTTTCGTGTATCATTGACTTTAATTGCCAGAACATAATTTTGGAATCTTCTGTGATAACCCACAAGGATCTAACTTGGAAGAATTATTCTTTTAATCATTTATAAAATCAACTACCAGAGTTATCTATGATCATTCGTCAGTAATAAACAATACAACAAAGTATATAATTTAAAACATCAGTATAAACATTTCTATTCAATACCCAAAAGTCATTTACAATACTCAGGATCTTCAACAATGATCACATATCAATCCAGTCATGAGTACAAAAGATAACTATAACTAAAGGAACAAAAACTTGAAGATTCCTTATTAATCCAACACTCCTGCTCCCTTGCCCTGACCTGAAATCATTAACCATGTATAATGAGCTTAAAAAGCCCAGCAGGTCACCAAATATCTACAACTGAAATCAAAGCACGGTACAAAAATAATATGCATGTCAATCAATCAAATCATAACAATCACTTTCACATGATCATTAAGTCAATGCAGATTCAGAAATCATGCAGAAATAGTAATCAATACGTAAACAGTACAATTTACAATCGACAGTAATAGAATCAAGAAACAGTACACAGAAATCATCATTTTTGTAACATCAATTAAATCACTAGAGAAATCATCGTATCCATCATAGTAATCAATAAACAGTAGAAAAGTCCGTAAATCCATAATCTGGTACATACATCAAATCTCTATTCGAACCATTGTGTCTATGACCTCAATCAAATTACAGAATTACTAGAGAAAGCATCGTGTCAGTAATAGCAATCAAATCAATCAATAAATCATCGTGTCAATAATATCATTTGGTAAAAACATCAAATCAATACTATCGTACGTGACTGCTGAAATCAAACAAATGTAGTAAAGTCGTATCAAAACGTACACTTGCAAATCCAGTTATTTAATATCACGTGCTCAGTGTATCACATGAAATCCATTAATCTATATCACGTGTTCAGTGAATCACATGTCACTTGCTCAGTATATCACATGCATAATATCAGTACAGTAAATCAGTAATATCAGTACCTGTATCAGTAATAATCTAGTGACATGAGCAGTAATGCTATAACCGTGAAATCATGCAGTAACGGTAATTCCGTACAATATCAATAAATCCATATAGTAGTAATAAATTCGTACAGTAATGAAAATAATGACGAAATTCTTGCTTTTCAGTAATCACTCTCAACAAGTAAAAGCCCTGGCTTTTTCAGTGTTTTTCAGTCTTGTATCAGTATCAGCATCTTATATCATTATCCGTTGGTTCAGTAATCAGAGTCGTCACTCTTTGCTTGTCGGCACAGTAATTATCTCCTTATAACTCCCAATCAGTAGCTGATGTAGACAAAGGGGGGGGGGGGGGGGGGGGGGGGGGGTCAACTCATGTCCAAAATAATATGATGTTTGGCTTCCCTTGAGTCTACTAGCTCAATCAAAATTGAGCTGAAATTTTAGCTATTTATGAGCTGGTTTTTAGTTCATTTATTGAACTAAGGGTTAGCTCATTATTAGCTATGATTTTAGCTCATATTTATATTTTATTTAATGCACTTTTATTATAGTTTTTAATGTCTTCTTTTATGATGTCTCTTGGGTTCCAAAAAGGGCTTTTGGAATCCCAAGTTAGTTGTTTAGTCTTCCTATGCATGACCCCTTGGTTTCCACCATGGTTTTATTGCTTTTTGCCCCTTGGATTCCGGCCGGCTGCTGGTTTCCCGTGCCTGGGCTCCCTCCCGTGACCGTGGCCCCTTGGTTTCCGTGCGGCCTCCTTGGTTCCCGTGGTTGCCCATTCGGTTCCTTGGCTTTGGGCTGTTTTTCCGTGAAAAGCATTTGGGATTAATGCTTGTGCTGTTTATGTTTTTGTGATAACTTATGTTATGTGTCTTTTGGTCTTCCCCTTTCATACCTATATATATGGGGGGTATTGTAATGTTTGAAATATGAAGTTATGAAAATGTAATTTTTGGAAAAGCTATAACCTGCGGGTTCGCTTTGGAAATCCTGCGGGCTCTTTCCACCATTCTTTCTTATCCCCTCCGGAAATCCTGCGGGCTCTTTCCAACCTTTCTTCTCGGGCTTCTAACATCTTTCGTCTCTCCGCAAGTGCCACTCCACCTATATCTTTCTTCCAAGTGCAGCAACTTTAGGGTGTCGTTTTATTTTATTTGGAGTCGTTTCTAAGAGTTTAAGTTGTTGAAATCATCATTTGTAGTTTTAATTTCCGCTGCTTAGTCTTAATTAAGTTACCTATTCTTTTTGAGGTATTTTGTATTCATTTAGTTAGGAAGTCTGTATCTCTTTTGTGATCGAAAAATATAGGGTCCCATATATTTTTTGGTCGCATCAGTAGCGGTTAACATCAAATCATATTTAAAGGAAAGCCCGTCGGCCCATCATCCTGTACAGGTCAATCAGTCTCCAACCAATGATTCAACCAGTCTTTTTTTATCTTTCACACACACACAGTAATATCACAGTAATGTAACAGTAATTTCAATCATATATCCATATTCGTTTACATCTCATCAATGCATTGTATCAAACAGACATAATTACTGTGTGTGTGAAAACTCGAAATCTTCGAAATCAGAAATAGGATATGGATTCGACGAACAATTCTTCCAACTACGTAGACGGACATAAATCGCTCCGCGGCCTCCGAAATCAAGCTTTTCCTTTCTCTTTCCTTCTCTTTCTCTCTCCTATTTTCTCTCTCTTCAAAACGTGTCAAACGGTCCATAAATAGAGAAAAGATACTTACGTTCGTACGGACGATGTTTTTCATTCGTCTCGGGACGAACTCCTCTGTACACAAATCGTACAGATGATAATTGATTTTCGTCTCTGGACAAAGGGTTTTGTCAAAAATTTGTGTTCAGTTCGTACAGACGAATTCAAGTTTTATACCCCTTCGGGGTTGGGGTCGTGGCCTTTTCTGTGAAATATATTTTTTAAGCATTTGATGAATATACATGACATTGCTCAATTTTGTAAGGCTTTAATTTCAATATCAATCACATGAAAAAGCATTCTAAGGTATCTAATCACTTCTTTGATACCTCAACCCCGAAGGGGTATAAAACTTGGATTGTAAGGGATATATAAACTCATAGCCTAAGGGTATAAATTCCAATGCACACTAAAACATGCAAAATCACTAGTACTGTCACCCTAATCCTCCATATTACATATGCGTGCTATATAAGGTTAATGTCAAGTAATGAGTTTGAGCTATGACTAGGTTGCCTTCACTATAATTTAGAACTTATTGGTTCAAGTCACAGAAATATTATATCGACAATGCAAAGAGTGACGCTGAGTACTTAATCCCTTCTCAAACCTCTCCTTGGTGGGAAGCCTCTTAAACTAGAAGTGACATTCTATAATTACTATTGTTGTTATTTCTCATCGCATTGTTTGCCATAATATGTAAAATGGTGAAAAATAGGGGGCTTGTTTCTTCAAAGAATAACATCTATTTTTCTATAATTATATCTGTTTTACAATTCTTTTGCCGTGTGTAGTTACACCTTCATAGTTTTAACAAATGCTACTGTTTTTTTTCTTCTGATAATTGGTTTGTCATCACTCCCGACCCATGTTGCTATCTTAATATCTTTACTGTAATTTATTCAAATTAACTTTAGGCATGGTTTTCAAATAAGATTTTGTAACAACCCAAATTTTTAACTATCGAGCTATTGTCCGCTTTAGCCTAATGTCCTTTGGTGTAACTACCTAGAAGGTTAACCATCGCAAGATTGCTCTAGCACGAGCACGCTTAATTTTGAAGTTTCTTAATGGAATTCCAACTATTTCCCCAAAAGGCGTCTCAATATTAAAAAATTTAGATTCTTTTTACTTAAGAGGTTTCACAATCTCTCTAACTTAAGTAACTAACGAATTGTCAGTATCCTTACCCTATAATCATATACCAGGCAGATAAGATACTAGAGGTGGCTCCTACATATTCATGTGTTGGCTCCCGCCATGTAGGACTTTGTCCCATACAAGGTTCAAGAGGTGGCTCTTATGACATAACACTTTTTCATGTGTGACACTCCATCTTCCGGTTGGTGTATTTCTCTGATACCATTTTGTAACAGCCCAAACTTTTAACTATGGAGGTATTGTTTGCTTTGGCCTAATGGTCTAGCGGTTTTGTTCGTCTATCCCACTATTGCTCCAGCACAAGAATGCTTAACTTTGGAGTTTCTTTATGAAATTTTAACCATTACACCAAAAAGCGTCTCTATTTTTATGAGTTTAACTTCTTTTTACTTAAGATGTTTTAGAGATTTGGCCTAATATCTTGGTTATTTGACTTGATATTATTTAATGTTTTATTTGCCTATTATACTTTTCTTCCCTTAATCCTGACTCAGTTATTTTTGCCCTCTTGTTGCTTTAGGAGTTAGTATGTCAATATATATCGCAACCAAGTGCAACCAATATGATGATCAGTGCTTGTGCCAGTTGAATGAGATATATCTGGTTTGTTATTTTCACTTTCCTATTGTGTATTGTTTGTCAAATATCTTTTCCTTATCTCATCTGTCTTTTAATATACTTTTTTCAATCATTGACTGTCATTTGCAGAGCATTTTGAGTAGATTTGAAAATGAAAGAAGATTTTTGGAATCAAATTTCAGGTCTGCACAAAATGGGCAGGCTCCTTCTGCGCGATGTTTAAAAAGAACGTGCTGTGTTTTCGCTTCAGAGATTTTATGCAGGAAATCATGTTTTGATAGTTGGTTGGTCATTCTTCTCTTGCTTAATAGAAGGAGCCTGTCCCTCGATATCAACTTGCTCTTGAAGTTATCAAATACTGCCTTGGTTGATGCTGGGCAGGTTTACTTTAAATCTCAACTATTTAAAGATATGGTTAAATGATATAAAATATGCGAGGATGTCTCCTTCAATTATATATATATATATATATATATATATATAGAGAGAGAGAGAGAGAGAGAGAGAGAGAGAGAGAGAGAGAGAGAGAGAGGCACACACACATGCACTCACGCAGGGGTGTGGGCTTCTGTGTGTGCTATGAGCTCTTGGGAAAATAATATTTAACTTCCATTCTCTCTTTCTTTATGAAATGCTTATTGGGATTTTTTTTCCAGTCTTTCTTATTTGTTTGAATTTTAATCTAGGCTCTTCCCTGTTTTTCTGATCTTCTTCAACATGCTCTGGACTATTCTTTGGATAACTCATCAAGGTCACCTGCTGACTTTTCTCCACACCAGACATTTTTGTGGATTTTTGATGCTGGAGGTTCAATAGATTCAGGTCATTTCGAGAACGGATTTTTTGTTTATCTTTTTTATTGATGTGTTGCAAAATTTGCTAACCTGCCTATCCAATAAACACTTCAGTACATCCAAAAATTTCCAGTTTAATTCTTGAAATGTGGTTTAGATGGCATTCTTCTTTGTGGAATTGCTTCTCTGAACGAGCCAAGGTATATCTGCATTTATTGAAGTTTGCTTCTAGCTTTTTTGTTAAGGTTCTCTAACTAAAAACAATGGAATATGTGTTCCTGCAGAGTTATCCCATGCTAAAGGGATTAGTTTATGAATTGTTTCCAACTAGAATACAAATTTTAGGCTTCATCCTGTAAGATCTTTTATTTTACCTCAATTTTTTTCCTGTGATTATAATATGAAATTTACTTCAATGGTATTTATGGCTTTGGTAAATATATCTTTGCAACAGCCAAGGTGTTTTTCCAATTAAAGACTTTGATGTTAACTGCTTGAAACTTAGAGCCTTGTCTAGAGCTCTTTGGCAAGATTCTCCTCTACAGGATAGCTTGATTAATGTTCTCTTATCTTCAGCTAATTGCCTATTTAAACAGGTACAAATGTTACGGTCTAATGATTTTTTTTTGGTGCTAGATTTTGTGCTTGTGTAACGTTGTTCCTCTCTTCTTGAAATGGTCATAGATCCTTTTTGTACATGAAAAACATTTTGATAAAGATGTATTTGCGAAGATCAAATCAATTCTATTCGAATTGACGAACCGTGATGCAAGGGTAAGCATTCCTTCACCAAGTTGCTTTTTAAGGCTAAATAATAAGATGCAGTGATTTATTGTTGTAACTTGATAGAATACTTGTGCATAGTTATCCTTGTAGAATCTTCACCTTTTTTTGGGTTGCTTTTTGTTTTATCTCAGTTCTGTAATATGATTTCAAGCTAAACAATATTTATTCTTTCTTCCAGCTTGGATGTGCTTCTCTTTTAACCTTTTAGAAATTTAACTCATTAATACGTATTACGTAAGCTAAATTTCTTATTGTAATTTCTTTTATTTTTTTATTTTTGAAGTTGAATGATTTGTTGGTTACAGTTGATACCCCCATCCCCCTTGTTTTTACTTCCAAGAATTTTTTTCTACATTTTTAAAATTTCCTAGAGTGAAGTGCATGTCCTGCATAACTTGAAGGTTAATATTTGTGTATAAAGCCTTGAAATACTTTGATAAGTTCTTGGCTCTATTAATTTCTGATGAATCCTCCATCGTGAATATTGTGCTAACTACAGGATGAAGAGCTACAATCTTTGAGATCATTGATTTTGTCTTCAAACCATGCCCTGCTCTCTTCACTTATGGAGTCTGTTATACAACCTTTGCTTGAAGGACTATATATGGGACGCTCATCAAATGGTATGCAAGTATTTATTTATGATGCTTTCTATGTCACTGAGTTATTCTTGACCTAGTGCATATTTCCATTAGCCTTCTCTTGACAAAAAGAATCTCGATGATGAAATAAAATAATGCTTATCAGGTAGTTTTGTAGACTTCTGTAGCCTTGGCCAAGCATGGGTGCACCTTGGGATACTACGTTTCCATCTATTATTAAACCCAGATGGTCATGATCCGGTTGCAAAGAGTGCTTTGAAGCATTCATGGATACTACGGAGGATGTCCCTTCTTGAACTTGAAAAAAAGGTTATTTTCAGCTGTCCTCGACCATCCATATCCCTTCTTTCAGTTTTCTAGTTTATGAAACATGCTTCAATTTTTTTAATTCCTTGATATTATCGTGGTGACCTCTGTTGAGAATGAAAAGAAACATACAATTCATTGTTCAATTTGCTGGTTTTCTTCTCGGAAACAGTTTTTATGATTGAAGTCCCTATAGGTTTATACTCTGTGTGTTTTCAGATTGTATGCATAGAGCTGGTATATGGCTGACAGATAGCTATCTTCGCCCATTTTTTACCATCAGGTACGAAGAGAATGTGAGCTTCTATCTCAAAAAAGCAGTGACAGAGTTGATGAGAGAATTAGAGAATCTCAAGATAAGTTGGAGATGGAAGAGAAACGAGCGCGAGCGAAGGTAATATTTTGCTTTCAATATTCCTCACACTAGTGCTGTTTAGGGTGTACGATTGATTGGTTGTCAATGACAAAATTCTATGTTTGAAAATTAGTTTTTTATTCTATGACTACTTCTGTTTGCATAATTTTCATTTTGTTCTGTCACTAACACCTTTTGCGGCTAGCTTTCTAATAAACTATGACCATGCTGATGGTTTACCTTTCCTCACTTAAACCTCCTTATGACCATTTTCTGACAGTTTTCATGTTATTCTACTAGTTAGATCTTTCTCATTGAATTTTTTTCAAGTATTGTTATTTTTGACTAGTTGTTCGATTCCAGGTTGTTTTTCGCCCAGAACCTTCAAAATATAAAAAGCTGAAATTAGAATGCACTAATTTTCTTGAGCTTCTTGTATCTTGTTCGTTGCTGCTAAAAACTGTCAGATGCAATATAGATATTGACACTATGATTGAGATGGAAAAGAACTGGCAGGTGAAACATACTTTTAAGAAGCTTCTTTGAAATTTTTTTTGCTCGTTCACGCGTTATTCTTATTCGTTGGATTTACGAATTGACAGGTCACCGCCAAATCCTTTATTAATAGATTGTCTGAAGATTTTGCTGAATACATTGACTTGGTCCAACCAATTCAGGTTGCTGTGTATGAAATCAAGCTTGGCATGTCATTGGTCATATCTGGTGTTCTGGAAAGAGAATATTTGAAGAAGATTGGAATAAATAAATTAGATACTATTTTGGTGAGTTTTTTTTCTTGTTTACGTAAAGTTATGCTTATCTGAATAAGAAGAACCAATCACTTGTTTTGCCCATAGGTTGGTTTCTAAATCCTCTTCCATTTTTTCTTTGTTGAAAGCTGCATTTGGTTAGGCTTCTTAATTTCAGACTGCAATTGTACCAACATGTTTAGTTTGAATTTTCAAATAAGTACTTTTAGTCTATCTATGGATGAAATTCTAAGCAAATTGTCAACGTACATTTTCATTTCTTCTTATTCATCGTCATCATTTTTATGCCAATTTGCCCACCTTTGGTTTACAGTAAAAGCATAATCATTATAACTGAGGCACTATGAAATATTTATTAACTGTGTTTATGTTTCTTTTTTCATTTCATTTCTGTATTATCTCTTTGATTTCAATATCCCTTAAAGAATTTGTAAATTTCCTTCATGAGATGGTTCCTAAATTGCTGTAAACTAGCATACTTGTTATTAGGAGATAAGGATCAAAATGGTACCCATGATTCTTTACCAAGGATCAACTTGGCCCTTGATTATTTAAAAGTCTCATTTTAGCACCTTTATTTTTTAATAGGGATTTAAATGATTCCACGTAAAGACAAATTTGGTCCCTATTTAAAGAGTTATGGGACAAAATTGCTACTTTATAGTCGGGAATTATTTTGATTCTTTTGAAAAGATAGGAGATCAACTCAGTCCTTTTCTCTTGTTTTTAGTATTATAATGATAATGTAGAATTACTATATAGGCCCGACCTATTCCATATGTTTATTTTTACAATGATGATAATGTAGAATTACTATATAGGTCTAACCTATTCCATAAGTTTATTTTTACATATTGTTTTTGTTGGACACCACTTATATACTTAATAGACACATTATGCTTTCTCCATACACACTTAGAAATTATGCAAATGTGTCATTTTATGGCTAGCATACTACTTAGCTGGTGTCTCATAGTATGCAGACCTTATTACCTTGTTGAATAATGAAAAGTGAAAAAAAAAAATCGAAGAGTTGCATCTTTTATGATGCCTTCTATGGCCCCACCTCGTCAAAAGACGCAATTTTTCGCTTCAATAACCACTTCTGGTGTGATGCAGTCAATAAAGCACAGAAAATTGAATGAAAAAACGTACACTCATTTTGTTCACTCACCTTGCTTCGTCAATCTCCTTGATACCTTCACGTGAATCAATCGCATGGCTTACACACAGAGAAACAATCGTCTTCCTGATTCTCTGTCGAAGGCCTAGCCGACTGAAGCTCTAACCTGCTTGAAATCTCCACGCCTAGACCAATCACTCATGTGATCCACCAAAGGCTTCAACCTCGTCGTCTCCGCCTTCTTCCCCACTACCGACCGAACACCTACATTCGGCCTCGCTCCAACCTACCTGTACACGCATCATTTCCTCTCTCGCCTTAGCCGAGACCTGCTTTTGCCTGCTTCGGCCTGTCCGTCTTCACCTTTTGTGCGATTAAATCCCCGCACTTGAGCAACTCTTCTAAACGTGCTAAGCTTCCAACATAGTCTGTCCCCATAACCCGTCCTCATGCATGAACTCCTCTATTCCAACCGAATTTTTACTGTGAGTAATGGCTTGGGAAACGATAGAATTACCGGGTTTATTTCTCTAATTTAAAAACAGTGAAATAATTTGTCTATAATAACTATAGTAATTGGCCCGAATTAATGATTGCAATTAGTAGTCAAAACTAATAAAAATAAAAACAAAAATTATTGCTAAAGCAAACAGATATTCTAACTTCAAGACATCGCGTCATCGACCTTAGGTCCTACTGAGATGATTTTAATATTTAAAGACTCACGCCGTCGATCTTTGATTGTGGTGGAATGATTTAAAATTTTAAAATCTGCGCCATTAATCTCTGATCTAGGAGGATGGTTTTTGAATTAAAAGGTCATACGTCATCGACCTTAGGTCCAGGTGGTAAGAAACAACGGTAAGTGTCATCCCAACCTTCCCGTGAGGACAGGGGACGCGAGGGGAGGGGACGTCGGGAGGCTGCCGAAATTCCCCGAAAGGCTGCCCAAATCGCCTCAGTTATCTAAAGAGCAATTCAATTTGAACATTAATTTAATTAAAATGTTAAAATTGATTTTTTAATATTAATTAACTAATTTAGTTAGTTAATATTTGATAGAACTTAATTGATTGAAATTAATCAAAATAATTGATTAATTGAATTTTTATCATTTGAGTTTTTTACGTTGTCTGATGCTTGAAAATTGAGAAGTTACAAACACTTATCTTCTAGGCCCTCTGATGATCTTTGCAATTAAGTTTATTTGAATTATTACTGAAAGCCTAGTACCAAAACTTCCATAAGCTAGAGGGGAGAGCATGTTCTCCCCTCATCATTCTCCCAAATTCCATTTAGCGTGAGTAAGAATTTGTTGGACATCATTTCAGTCCAAAGACTATCTTGGAGTGCCTCAGATGTCTCTAAATGAGACATTTGTTTAAGATATTCCAACATAGGTGTATTATTGAGTGGAAGACTTTGAAATGTTGTGGCATTTCAAATGTTATTCCCTTTAATATATTAGAGGTCTCTGACTGTCGAAGCATCACATCTCTTCCTCTAGCTAATTTTTTTTATCTACTATCTCTTCCTCTAGCTAATGAAATAGCAAGACTTGCAACAAATCATCTTATTAATTGATTAGTCAAAATTTATTAATCAATTGAAATTAATTGGCTAGTTTAAAATGTGAGAGCATTTTAAATTTGTGAGTGATTTAAAAAATTAGAGAGCAATAAAATTTATATTTAATTGGTTGATTAAAATAATTTTTTTTTAATTAATTAATTTAATTAATTAATCAATTAATGTGGAGAGAGCCACTTTGGTGAATTTTCTTTTGAAAAGCAAGAAAATAAAATATTGTTTTTTCATTAACCAGCTCTCAAACTCTCCAAGCTATATTAACATCAAAACAACTCTTAAACAACTCAACCAAGACAACTCAAACACACTAATCAGCACAACTCTCAAACTCTTTAAACAACATCTCAGATTCTCAATCAACACACAACTCTCAACTCTCACTGTAACCTACAAACACTGCTCTCTAAAGCCCTGTACAAACAACTCTCAGCACAACTCGCCCTCTCCAAACAACACATAAATTCAACTCAATACTCACAAAACAAAACTCTCAACACTCAAACTCAACAGACACAAACTCCTACAGACTCTGTACTCTCCTGGACAAAGCTCTAAAGTAGCACGATCTTCTACAAACAAGAAAATAAAATTCATTAGCATCGAAATCAAAATGCTAAAGCAAGAAAAAGAGCAGGCTACTGAAAATAGAACATGCTACTAGTAAAAGTAACTACTAGTACAATCTATAACACTGAAAAAAAAAGAAACAACTGTAACAAAAAACATTAGTGTCACACAACGATAACTACTGGCTAGTAAGTGTCAAATTAGTAAACAAACCGCTAGTAAACAATTGAAAATCACAGTCTGGTGTCAAGCTAACAAACAACTAGTGTCCATTCAAACAAACAAACAATTAAATCCCTTGGGCATCCTAGTCTATAGACTAGGTTATAAGACCCGTTATTGGGCTACTTTTAAGTGAAGTAATAATACTCACTTTCAGGCATCTTCTAAAAGAAGTTGTAAGATCTGTTATTTGAGAGAAACTACTCTCAAATTAAATCTGAACATCAAGCAATTTAGCATATAGGGCTAAATTATGAGACTCACCAATATGCTTCTTTAATAGGGAAGTAATAAGACCCGTCCTACCCAAATAACTATGTAACTTTTAATAGGAGTTAAAGCCTATTATTTGAAAAAAATTTAAATATCAAACCCTCAAACAATCAAATTCAAATTACCGGGCATCTTAGTCTAAAGGATTAGATTGTAAGACTCACTTTTAGACAACTTCCAAAGGGAAGCTATAAGACATACCCAAATAATTAAATCCTTTGGGCAGCCTTGCTGTAGAGCTAGATTGTAAGACCCATCTTTGGGCAACTCATAAGTAGATTCATAATCCCTGTCCAAATGAAAGCTGTAAGTCCCGACCTAAATTCAAACACCCGGGCTACTTCCAAGAGAAGCCGTAAGACCCACTTCAATTCAAATTTCTGGGTAACTTCTAAGCGAAGTTATAAATACCAAACCAAATTAACTGGTTATTCTAATAGATGTAAACTCCAAAACTCAAATAAAATTAAAACTTAAATCCAACCACCTCAGTCTACTCGGGATCCTTGAGTGGAGGCAACCCTTGGCTACTAACCAGATTCTCTGAACTCTACAATAAATGATTGTTAGTGTTGGTAGACTAAAACCTACTGTATACCCAGGATGACGGAACCATGGGATCTTAATCGGGTTTACGTTCATTTCCCCCATAATTGAGACTAAAACACGTGCAAATTATTCATCCTTAATTGAGAGTTCTCTCTTACTTGTTGAGAGGGGTAATTAATAATGAGTGCTTGCGCTCATGGGAAGTAAGAACTCAAGATCTAATTAAACCCTGATACCACCCGCAGGGAAAATTTTGTTAATTACAATCTGACTTAAGGGAAATGGAATCCTACAATTACAAAACGGGATTCATGCATTTGTGCCGTTTCTCTTGAGCAAACAAACATACCTATAAGCTCTTCAAAAAATAAGTTTTAACGTAGATGTAAATATAGTTTAATCCATTATTTTTATAGCTTATTAGCTGTCGTTTTACTTCTGTATCTTCATGGGAAAATGAAAAAGCAAGCTTCTTTCTTTTTACTTCAACATACTTGGTATAGACGTTGCTTGATAGATAGCAGTTATTGTAATCTTCTATATAATTTGTTTTGTGATAACCTGGAATATTTTCTATTATTTTTTATTCTGTATAAGTGATAATTGTTCTAACTTCAGTAATGATTTCTCGTGCATTAAATGAGGCAATTTGCTAGTTCAATTCAAGTATGCTCCATGTATATGAGGCGTCTTTATGTCCAAAGTATATTTGCATCATGGATTAATAGCACTACTATCCTAACTTCTAATATTTTCCGGTGCAGCCTCCATTGTGTTCTCTTATGCAGTTTCCTAAAGTGTTGCCAGTCAGGCGTAATCTTATAACTCTTACGAACTTATCTAGACCGAAACTGAAAGCCTGTGAAAATACTGGCTGTGAAAGACTGCAAATTCTTGACATAAACCTACTGAACTCTTTGATTGTTATTTCCAATGAAGTAAGTAGACGTCAATTTTATATATATATATATATATATATATATTGTTGCTTGAATTAGTTGAATTAGCAGTTAGTGTTCCCTGATTTACATATTTCACATTTGCAGCAACAATCAATTATTTGCCACATTGCTTTCCTTCATATCGCTCTCACTATAAGCAGTTCTCTAGTTATGGACAAGGGTTCTTTCTTGGTAAGTGCAGTTTTTTAAGTGCTATTGTGGAATGATGAAATAAAAATGTTTGTGTCATGCTAATCTTTCTCTCTATGGTGTGGGTGTTTATGTGTGGTATGTGTTTGTTTAGCTTTTGAATGAGATATTTCGACGCTTTTCAAGCTTTTGGATGGGGATGAAATCTAATGCAAAAGCATCAAAAGAAGAGGAAACTCAATATTATAAGTTTAGGCCCCGTTCTATCACATTGGATGATGTTGTGAATGGAGATATTTCTTCATTTGGTATGTTGGAATCAGGTGGGGATCTTTCATCTGAGTGGCAAGAATTGTTAATGGAGCAAGAATTCTCTAAAGTGGTATGTAGTGCCTCTACAACTTAATAGGAATTTTCATGGCGGCTCCTCATGTTTCTTATAGAAGCTATTAATTTTATTAGAAGGAATCTCCAAAGGAAGTTGGAAATGTTGAAGAAGACTGGTCCTTGATTCCTGATTCGATTTTGAGGAGTTTGGTGAAAGTTCATGATCAGTTATTTGGGTCAGGAAATCTTCTTAAATGTGTAAGTTATATTTCACATTAGATTATGCCATGATTGGTTTACTTTTGTTTTGAGTTTGTTCTTTGTGCAGAAGCATTTTTGCATCGATGCCATGTGCCAAAGAATATGGTTTGTTTTTGATAAACTTTTGTCGAATAGCTACTTTGTAAAATGGATCAAGAGTTACACCAGCTAAGATTCTATAAACAAATTTTACTCAGCAGGAACATGTGTGAAAGGGTAGTGATATTACATATTTTCTCATTTGTCAACACGTCAAATAATTTGTAGTGCAGTAAGTCTTCCTTGATATATCTCTTGATCCCTCGTAGCGGGATAAAAACTTGTTGTTTTCATCACTGATATATTCCTTGACCTCACGTTGTGGGATTAAGCTTACTGTTGTTATTGTTGTTACTGCTTTTTATAAGTCATCATTGACCATATATTATTATATTGCTTATTGTTAGTGAACTTGAAATGAAGTCATTAGTTCATAATTTGCTATGCATCATTTGAAAAAAAAGGTCAACTTCAGATTAAATTGTTCAGTCCAAATTATTGTTTTCTATTTGACGTTTCATTTTCCATATATTTGTTGTTTTCAATTGACACATTGAGTGCGCGCTATTTATATGTTTGTTAGTCCATCTTTCAATTTATCTACCATTTGATTGCACCTCTTTAGGCCACCACATTTTTTCACTTCGATGTTGCCCTAAATTCTACAAAGTCTATCTCCTATTCCTTAGACTTTTGAATCCTCTATGGTCCTCTCGAATGATCTAATTGACTTTGTGATTATGTAGTTCTATGTTATAGGAGTTTGTTCACAGTCACATGGTTTTGTTTTTGGTAGTGCTTATGAGAACGAATAGGGTGTTTCGATTTACTTTCTGAACATTTAACAGTTAAATTTAAAACTAAATTAAAGGTCATGCATAATACAGCCTGGTGTTTGCCTAATCACCGATGAGGAAAGACTGCTTTTATTTATGGACTCCTACAGGCTAGGAACAACAATCTTAGAAGGTGATTATTCTGTTTCATGCCGTAGTCTTAAAATGTTTTCTCCATGCTGTTCCACAATACCTAATCTAGTTCCCCTCTCTTATCAGGTTTTCAATCACTAACCTCCTCGATCATGGATGACAGCCTACTTCCAGAACATCTTCTACGTGTGTGTCTAGCGTATCAATGGTCGTCTGGCAGTAAATCTGCTCATTCTTATAATGTATACAAGGTAATAAGTAAGTGAAGCTTTGTGAATATTGATCCTGTATGTGAATTAAAATTTCTTATGCTATCTTTACTTCATGTATAGGATTCAAATGCTGATGTCATGTTCAAAATGGTAGAACCACTAACTGCCATCCAAAGTAAGGTTAAATCATTCCTAGTAGAGTGGCCAGACCATCCTGGTCTTATGAAAATAATGGAGATCACTGAAACACTTTTGGATGTTCCACCATGCACCCCTTTATCAAAAGTAACTTATTAGAACCTTAATGTTTACTTCAATTCATTGTTCATACTCTTGATGTGCATTGCGATCTTATATTGATTGCAAATTGTGAAGGCTCTGCCTGGATTGCAACTTCTTGCTGGTAAAATTCATTTCCTTCAAGAAAATGATTCCAGGTTTTTTTTTAAAGGTATGGTCTTTTGACTTCATTTGGATTAGTTTTTTCATCTTTATATATGTTCTCAAACAATTTTCAATTTTTTCTGCAGATGAGATGCAACTATTGTATACTACAATATCGTCATGGCAAAAGCTTGAGGTAGACTCATGGCCTACATTACTTGATGGAGTTAGTGAGCAACATGAGGTGAATGCTACAAAGGTAAGATCCAAGTAATTGATTATTGATATTTCATTAATATGGTGTTCCAGGTCACCTATAACTTTCTCTTATTGATGAAATGCAGCTATGGTTTCCTCTGTATGGTGTTCTTCATCGTAGTTTTTCTGGTGATGCCAAAGTTGATGATTTGCTAACAATACAAAGGCATGCACTACTGTGCCGTTGCTTCTCATTAATTATATTTTATACCTTGAGATGATTCTGCTGATTATAATGTTGGTGCAGTGTCGAGGAGTTTATTTGTACATCTACTGTAGGGGAATTCAAGAAGCGTCTTTTTCTTCTTCTTGCTTTCCATGGACAACTTAAAGATGGTATTCACTTGCAAGTTTATTCTAGGTAAATAATGAAATTTTGTGCTTGAATCATCATCCTCATTCTAGTTATTTGAGACCTAATTTATGAATCTACCTTCATTTTTGTTGAATTGAACAAAGTAGTTAAACCTCTTGCAAATCTTTTTGTACAATTTCTAGCCATGTTAACGTTGGTCATCTCTCTTTTCTTTTATAATTCTTCTACAATTATTTTTCTCTTTATGGTGCCTCATTTTCCTTTTTGGTCCTTAATCTGCTTTTCCACCGGCTCCTTGATGATCATGAATCACTTTATCATTCGTAGTCTTACAACATATCTGTATAAACGTTCATTTTTGTTACACTCAAGTTGTTAACTAAAACTTCTTTGTTTCCAAACACTTATATCTATATTAAATTGTCAGTCTAATTCCATAATTTTCTGTCATATTACCTTAATATTTTACTTATTGCATAGAGCAATTAGATATTTTGACCGCCCAGTTTTAACTGTGAAGGCATGCCCTTCCTGAAACTTATATATTACTTGAGCTTTTAACAATTTTGACTGTTTACTATCAATTTCATAATTGCTAAAACTATACTGTAAGCTCAATGTTCTGTTAACTCAGTAACTCGTCTTCTAAAAGGTTTTTCCATTGTTTTGAATTTTTATTGCAAAAGTTATCTCACATTTCAACACCATGTCATGTGTAAATCTCTTATATCATGGTAGCTGATTTTGAATGTTTTTTATTAGTATTTTCATAAAAAATGCAAAAATATATTTGCATGATGCTGATCGTTGTTGTAATCTAATTGAATAAGTTAAAATTTTGATCATTTTATAATGACTACTAACAACCGTCATCTCCAAATCTTTTACTTGTTTGGTAACTTCGATATACCTTCAGTACTTTATTTCTCGTAAATTCCTATCAAATAAACTACTTTGATATTCAACTATATATTTTGATCATTTTATAACGACTACTAACAACCGTCATCTCCAAATCTTTTACTTGTTTGGTAACTTCGATATACCTTCAGTACTTTATTTCTCGTAAATTCCTATCAAATAAACTACTTTGATATTCAACTATATATTATTTCTCGTAAATTCCTATCAGTGCTAAAGTGCTTGGATTTGTTTTCCTTGTTTCAATTTGCTCGAGGGATTGATATAGTGTTCTGATAGAACAATTAAGTGGTCACATAGATAGCCCGGCTAATCATGGATGAGTTGTGACTATGAATTCGGACCCAAACGATATCCACCAAGAATCATGTGGCTATCATATTTGTAGTAAACATCGGGTGATATTGTGCTAACTTTGGTATGCTTCTATGGCAGTCCTCATGCGGAAGAAAACCTGAAAATTCTGTATAATACTTTTGGATATTATGTGCAATTCCTTCCAAGGTAAGTTTCCCTAAAAGTGAGCATAGTTTTCTTGGCAAAAAATTTTGATTGAGTTTTTAGGTCTTATGGTTTACCTTTAACTTTTTGCTAGAGTATTGGAACACATTGAAGCTGGTAAAGGAAGTGTAGAAAAAGACTTGAAGGAGTACCTGAAGCTTTTCAGTTGGGAACATCCTTGTGCTCGCGTATCTATAGAGAATTTCAGGAGGACTCGACAAAAAATATGGAAACTCATTCAAAAGTTCAATGTAACCATCTATCACACTAAATTTCAGATATAATTTGCTTATTTATGTGGTTCAGTAGTTCTTAAGTAGTTATTTTAGTGCATGGAAATTTGAAGAAACCATCTTTTGCTCTTATTGAACATTATAAAATACTTAACTAAGCTGACAAATGGATATCTTTGTCTTCTGATGTTCTTCCCTTGCAAGCAAACATGATTGACTCAGGCATTTCAAGGTTATTCATTATCAAAATTTCCATCCAATAAACTTAATCAAATTGTTACCATAACATTTTCTAAATGATTGCTTTACAACATAAAATAACTTCCGTATTTTATTGGTTCGTAAATTATGATCTGCCTTCCAATAGAGACAGTTCAGATGGCATGCTTGAAACAAGTTATATTGCATACAATTAATCTAGCGTTGAAAAAGATCATTTGATGTATAAGTTTGTCTTGGTGCTCTAACTGTATTTTGTAATCCAAGTTATTCTTTGGGTGGTGTCTGCTAAATCTCATAGGTTGTCTTGCAAGAACCAGTAATGGTTGTTCTTAATGAAGAGGCAAAATTAAAAAGACAGGAACCCGTTTGGCTTGAGCAGAACTTATCTGGTAAAGGCAAACTAGATGTAATGGAGCTGCAGTTTCCGATTGATCTTGTAAAGCTCAGGAGTACAGAAAGGTTTTCTTCATTCTTCATTCATGCGACCTTTTCCTTTTTTTCATTTTCTGATTATTGATTTTTTAGGTTCCTATGGTTTGGTGACTGGAAAAACAAAACAAATTCAACCTTTGAAAATTTCTATGATGGAAGTAAGTACTTCTCTGTCTATCCTTATTGTAATTAATCGTATAAGATGTCCTCATGATCTTATCCTTTGAACAATAAATCTTAATCCTTTTGATTGTTTTTATTTGGATTTCAGAAAGCAATAGATTGTGCATTTCTTCTGAATACATATGCAAGAATCTTAAGGTGGTATGGGATGAGGGATGGAATGCGCTTGAAAGAATTTGCCAACATGCGGCTGGATTTTCTCATGTTTGGAAGCAGGAAACAAGAAATCTTAGGAAAAGGAGAGCATTAAGCGATTTTCTACAAGTTTTGGAAAAATGTGGGCTATCAAGGCACAAATTGGTTGATTTACAGGTATTCATCTATTTTTGTTCTATTTTGTTCGGTGGGACTATGTCTTGCTAAATATTTGCTTCCAGGGAATTGCAATATTAAGAATTTTCTTTTTTGAATAAATCTGGAAACTCTTAAGTTGCTCTCGATTCATTTTACATGCACTTAGAACTAAATATATTCTATATGCTACCTTGATTAACAGGAACATAAATCAGGGCAGCCTAGTAGCTCATTTCTTCAGCCATCATATGACATGCAACATCTTCTAGTGCAAGCGTGCCCTTCATCAACTGATGCCAGTACCTGTCTTCCCAACAAGGCTGAAAAACGCATTGATGTTAGATGCGCTCATATATGGGAAGTTGCAAACAGATTCTATTTTAAAAGCTTAAGTATGATTCAACAGTTGTATGAACTTCAAACCTGTTTCAGTAAGGACCTTACTTTAGAACTGGTGAGTTTCTGTTCTTGTTAAATAATATATTTTAGACAACATGATAGCTGGCAACTTACCTCCTTTTTTGTATCTATAGGTGAATCACCTAGTATCTTATATAGAACACTTGGTTGTAATTCAAAGGGACCAACGATCTGTTGTTTATTATGTCTCTGAGCAGCTTAAAAAACTATGGCAACAGTGCTACTCATTAGGCAGCATTGGTACTTACTATCAAATATTATGCTATCATCTATATTTCTATTTTATATGCTTAACTAAACTTTATTTTATAGGAACAGGTAGTCATTGTTCCTTGTCCGCACATCAATACCTTATATGGAAACACATGTGGCAACAGAAGGTTTGGTGTTTCCTCCCATTTTCATGAAAATAAGCACGTTGAATTATATGAAGTTATATTGGCATATTGACGTATGGTTGTATTATGTTCAATTGTCGCAGGATCTTTTCGATAGCTTTCTTTCCTTTTCGAAAGATATGAAAGTTTTCCTTTTAACTGTCAAGAAGTGTCATATGGATGCTTGCAATAAAATCAGTGCTGAAGCTGACGTCATATCTGCTATTTTTGATAAGTTCGTCCCTTTGTTTATGCAGTCAAAGGTAGGCCATAAAGACATACTCTGTCGGGAAATCTTCATCCCTTCTTTCTGATTAATGACTTCTATGCAGGATGAGTTGGATTGTTACCTTCTTGGTAGCAGTGGAGTTGTTATAACTTCAAATACATACACACCTTCTATTGTTTCCATGCAAATGGAAGAATTTGTTAGGCACAACTACCATATTATTAACACATTGGAAGAAGCTGTTCATGGCATACAAAAGGGTTATCCTGAATCTATTAAAGATTCTTTGTTAAATCGTCTCAAAGAGATCATCAACGAGGTATGTTTTTTTTGCATGCTAACCTTATAATTGAATATGTTCATATCTTCTTTAATTAAAAATGGTATGTTTTGAGTTTTTTTTTTTAAATAAATTGATTTTTTAAAAAACAATATTAATATTAGTTTAGGGTTTAGAAGAGTAGATGTATTAGATCCGGACTATGTTAAAAAAGGTAGAGGTAGATCTAAAAAAACTTTGTTAGAAAGCATTAGAAATGGCATTTTTTTCCTAGCTTTAATTGAGAACTTGACTCTTAATAGTATAGAAGGAAGAAAAATGATTCATGTAGCCAACGCCACTTAGTGGGATAAAGACTGATGTAAAACGTAAATGTCATTTACTTGCCTAGGTGGCAAGATTAATGAAATCCCAAATCAATTTGGGGAGAGAATGAAAATCTGAAATTAAATTTCAGATTTAGTGGAATTGTGGGATGAATTTGAATTTAAATTCAAATTTAATGGGGAGAATTAAATTGGATGAGAGGGATATGTGTGAGGTAATTAGGGAGGCTTAATGAGGGGGCTATTAATGAGATATGAGAGAGATTATGCCCAATGGGGGGGCGGCCACATAGAGAGAGGGAGGAGATTATTTATCATAAGTAGAGTGGGGCCCACATTACTAATCAAAGATTTAATAAAATCTGAATTAAAATTCAGATTTTGAAAGAAAAGAAAGTTTCCAATAATGGGACTATCAATTAGAATTAATTTGAATTTCAAATTCAAATTGACATCCAATTAATATGAAAGCCTTAAATCAAGGAACTATTTTAGGAAAGTCTTCAATGCCTCTTGGAAACAAATTTGAAATTCCCAAGAGGGAGGCCGGTGGCTTGGCCGTCCCAAGGAGGCCAGCGGAGCCGCCAGTGGCGGGGTTGGCCTGGGGTGGCCGGCGGTGGTTTTATGGGGGCCGGTGGAGGGGATTTGGGAGGAAGAGAGTTTGGTTAGGTAGAGAAGAAATAAATTGGGTTTAGGAAAAAGAAAATCCGGAGCTATACACCTCGAGCAACACCTCCAATAGAACTCACAAAGAGATCTACAAGCCACTTCCTCAAGAACTCACAAAGAGATCTTAGGAATCTCAGAACTCATAAAGAGGTCCTTCCACTTCCTCAAGAACTCACAAAGAGATCTTGGGAATTTCGGAACTCACAAAGAGATCATTTTCTTCTCATGAACTCACTAAGAGATCAAACAAGTAGAATAAATTTCATTAACAATTCATCATCTCATTACAGAAGAAAGGGCCTCTATATATAGGCCTAAGAAACTAAAACAAGACACATATGCTCCTAAGGCTTACATAGGACTACCCTCTTAAGTGAGAATAAAAACGGAAAAATTATAATAAAAGTTTAAAAATTACAAATAAAATATAAGATAACGTGGGACGATGACAGCCGTTGATCTTCAGCTCCTCGGATAGCCATGGACGGTTGGATGTCCGCATCAAAGACTTGATGTTGTTGTAAAAAATAATATTAGTTAAAAACACATAAAAACATGTTTTTAAAAAATAAAAACAAAATTGATGCTGTACAAACCTTTATTTTTTGTTATCATATACAAGGGTAAATATACATTAGTTTTATTAATAGGATATTAGGATTCTATAAAATTTTAGAAAGAGTATTACTACAAATATTTATGATAATATGAAAACATTCCATGAGGTATTCATTATCATTTATCCTTAGATATATTACAGCCTGTCGTTCATACCTGCCATTTACCACCTTCCTAAATGTAGTAATTCGTGTGCTATTACTTTCCATGTTCTCTTGACGCCACTTGGTGTGTTAGCCATCATATTTATTGCTGCAGTAATTCACCAGTCATCCCTTTTCAAATTAGTTGTTGCTCGCTTTGATTAATCTTGTTATTGTGTTCGCCAATCCTAGAATTTGCTAGCTTCCTTCCTTTTGAGTTTGCTAGTGCTGCTTTTGTTAATTATTGCTGTCAATCTTGGAATCCACCAACCTTCTGTATTTCTTATTTCGCTACATATAACCACCCATATTTCTTACTTCTCCATGTACTGTTTCTTCACTTGAGACCTTGAGACCACTGATTGTAATGGGATTTCTCCTTAGTAATGTACAACAACTTATGGTTAATCTTTTACTAACAGGTGATTTTGCCTAATAAATATCAATATAGCCTTCCAACTTTTGAAATTCATGTCCTTTATGAAGAATCCTTTTTCAAAGATTAATTTTAAATACATAAGAACTTTATAAATAACTTAGAGGTGAGATTCCTTTGGTCTATAAATACATTGACTTATAAGGATGAGAGTGGGACAAATAGATGTTTTTTTTTTTCACCAATCTTTGATATTGTTCTTTATTAACTTACATTCCTTCATCTTTGTCCAGCTTTTCTCTTGGTTCTATTGGAGTTTTATATGACGTGTAGTTTGTCATATTTTCTTATCTCAATAAATCCAAAGCACATTTATCTTCTCTGATTGAAAGGCTTCTATGCCTAGAAAGTCTTTAAGCTTGTCAAGTTCTTTGATATCAAATTATGTATTGAGTTTTTTTTTAAATAGGTTCCATTTCTTTATTATCATCACCAATTATAATTATATCGTCAACATATGCAATAAGAATTATAATTGCTATTTCAGTCAAATGCAGTATTAAGATTGCCTGATATTGTTAGCTTTGGCCATGTCCCAATCTAAGCATTGCTTCTGTGAATCTTCTAAATCATGCTCATGATGGTTATTTCAACCCATATAATGCTTTTTATAGCTTGCAAATTTGGTTTTTCTTAAAAAAATATTGGAACTTGGTGGAGAATTCATATAACTTCCACATTACTATATATAAAGGCATTTTTTTACATCCACTATTAGGGGCCAAATAGACTAGGATTTAAATGATATTAATTTTTGCAAATGGAGCAAAAGTTTTCATTAGATTTTTTTTTATTTAACATATTATATAGGATTCTATCCTTTTTCTGCTAATTTGGTTTTATAGCCTTTTAAGCTATCGAAAATTTTATGTTTAATATAAAAGCTCATTTACGACATGCTTGCTTTTTTCTTTAAGAGAAAATGACCAAAATGGTCCCCAACTATACTAAAGGACCATTTTAGCCCCTTAAATCTTTAAAATGAATCAAAATAGTCCCATGGCGTGACAATTTTCGTTTCTCTTTAAGGAATTAAGGGATCAAAATAGTCCTTTAGTATAGTTGATATTGTTTTGATCTTTCATAAAGAGTCAAGGGATCCTTTTTTATCTTTTTTTCTGTTCTTTAAGATAACTCAACTATTTTCCAAGAAGGTTACTTTCTAGATCATTTATCTCTTCTTTATTGGTCTCCTTTCAATTTTTGTTTCCTAATGCCTCAAATAAGATTTTTGGAATTTTAGCTGTTACATTTGAATTTTGGGATATAAGGGATGTTTAATACATTTTCTAACACATTTCTAAATAGCATTAGTTTGATCAAGATCATTTTTAGAGGAGGTTGGAGGTTACCTGATAAGGTTTTTAAGCCTTGAATTTCCGAGAGAGTTTGGGTGGGCTTTGACTTCTTTTATGGACTTGAAGTTGTCGAGTAGTAGAAGAGTCAATTTTAATGGGATTAGGTTATCATTTCTTGGTAGTAGAAGCTAGAATATTTGGATTTCAAGAGAGAAGATGTGAAGTTATTTGGTTAGCTAATTAGCTAAACTCAAACGAAGTTGAAGCATGCATAGTTTTAAATAAACTGAACTTGAATAGTACTACAAATACTTGAATCGAGCTCAAACACGATTTTAGCTAATGCGTTCAAGCTCAAGCAAGCTATTGCTCAACCCATTTGCATTTGATATTCATTTTTGATCTACTGATATTACGGATATGTATTTTATGTAGTGAACATGTTTCCCTCTATGTATTGTTTAAATTTTGTTTTAACCTAATATAGTAGGTGCGCTACTTGGTGCGCCTACAAGAGTATTTTTGGGCCTGAAGCTTGGATTGAATATGAAATGTAAGAGATTATTTTAAAAGAAAAATCGCCCGAGTCTTCTTGAACATGCATAGTACTGATAAATGATCCAATTTATCGAGCGGAACCTATCTAATATGGGAAATTGATCACTTTTAGTTTGGGCCAATTTTTTAATCATTATTGTCCTATTATTGGTTTTATTAGGTCTATCTTGTTAAAATTTTATTTGTGTAAAATAGCATGTAAAGTTGTAAAGATAGATTTGGAGGCTATTGTGGCTTTCCATTAGAACTGAAAGAACATCTTTGATTTTTGGCAGGGAAACAAAGAAATGACAGCTTTCAACGCTGAAGTGGAGGCAAATAAACAAAAAATGCCTGATGATCACTCATTTAATATGCTGAGTACTTCATTCTTTGATGCTTTTGAGCGCACACACAAAGCAATTATTGAAGCATTTGGAAAAATAGACCCTACTCTTGCTGATCAAGCTAGTAGTGTAGTTTTTTCCATGGAAGAAATAACCTCATGGAAGAACATTTTTAAATCGTACATGGCAAATTTACATCTGGACCAAATTCATGATGGTTTACTTGAAACAATCACTGCAGCGGTATGTTACTTACGTTGTGGTTTATGTTCTACTATGTGTACAAATTGCTTTTGTGTTGATCAACAGTTGAGGTGAATGAGTTTTTGCAGAATCACCTGGTGGAGTGTGCTGGTATTCAGAATCCTGAACTGTGCTCTCAAATAGGAATATGGTTAAAGCGTCTTCATCTATTGCTCAAACTCTTACTTGAATTCTGTGAGGGAATCCTATTTGAGTTTTTAGATGCGCATAGAACAGTAAGCAAGATTCCTCCATAAATTTTTGTTGCTTTATGGTTTTTTTATTTGAAAGGTCTTACTGATTTTGCTTTTTCTCAAGCAGATTGCTGAAATGACAAATGTTCTTGCTTATATATTTACCTTGCTATTATATAAAGGCTTTGGTGCCATCGAAGATCAAACTGAAAATACTGTCCAAGGATCACGGGATTGTAGTGGTACTGGTATGGGAGAAGGTGAAGGCGTAAATGACGTTAGTGATCAAATAGAAGATGAAGCTCAATTAACTGGAACTTCTGAAAAGGTTTTATAATATAAAATTTATTTTCTTTATTCTTTTTAACCTCTGTAAGTGCTTAAGTTTAAGGCTTCAAAGTTACATTTTTTTTCATTTAAGCAGGATGTACCTGATGGTTCTGAAAAAGTACCAACTGGTAGGGATAGAGGCATAGAAATGGATGAAGATTTTGCTGCTGATTCCTTCAGTGTTAGTGAGGACTCGGAGAGTTATGATGATGGGGATGATGGGGAGGATTTGAACATAGAATCAAAAGTGGGCGAAACTGGAGATACAGACAAAATTGTTGATGAGAAGCTTTGGGACAAGGAAAGTGACGCAGAACCTGAAAACTCTTTTGAAAAGTATCAGTCAGGCCCATCTGTTGAAGAGATGGATACTAGAGGTAGGGAACTCAGAGCTAAACAGGAGGATACCCCTGCAGTTGAAGAGTCTGATCAGTGTGACAAGCATGGATCTGATGGACTAAATGAGGAGCAAAAAGATTCTCCTGTTGGTGAAAATAATGTTGATGATATGATACTGGATGAAAATGCTGCAGTTGAAGACCAAACTGGAATACAGTCTACGAAACAAGAAAATTTTCAAGAAGACAATGATATGGAGGAGACTCAAGGTTCAGGTAATATGGATGAGGGAGATGCTATTCCTGATGAATCTGATAAGGAAATTGGGGATGATGATTTATCAAATCACACTGATCATATGGATGAAGAAAATGCTGCTCTTGCTGAAGAAGGACATGATACTAATGATAATCCAGAGAATAAAGATAACAAAAATGTAGAGCTGGAGACAAGTATAAAGGTTCCTGAATCAGATAAGTTCGACTCAATTGAGTATCCTCAGAATACAGTAGATATGGTCAACCAACTGCAGGCCCCTTTCAGTGTAAATTCAAGCTTAGAACCAGCGATGTGTTGGTCTGATAATAATTGTAGTGATATGAACAATTGCATTGCACCTTCTAGTATTTCAAAGGATGAACACGCAAATCTACAGGTTTTGATGCCCAACTCAAGTGATTCTTCTAAGTTAGCTCCTGATAAACCACAACCCCAGAGTACCCAAGGTGAGGCTAAATCCAGACACTTGAAAGAGACCAACCCGTTTAGGAGCATAGGGCAAGCCTTGGAAAACTGGAAAGAAAAAGTTGCAGTACTAGATGATCTCCTAGAAGAACAATTTTCTAATCCTGATTATATGAATGAGGGTGAAAGTGCTACCGAGTTTAGATATGTATCTGAAGGAGAAAAAAGTACATCTCAAGCTCTTGGGCCTGCAACAGCTGATCAGATTAAAAATAATGTGGATGGAAACAAAAGCCATGAGATCCAAATTGATAACATGAAGGAGCATCATGATGAAATGAAAGAAGAACATCCTGAAACAAAATCCCTTAGGACTGCGAATGCTGCAATCTTTAGTGAGAAGCATATTGAAGAATTGCCGGAAACAGCAGCTGGAAGTGAAGCCCCTTTTGAAGGATTGCAGCATGGTTACACTGGAAACATTTTTTCTGGAGATGTTGTCTCATTCAGAAGCTCATACATTAATGAGAAAATTTTACCTCTTGTTAGTGATGTTATTGGTATGGATCTATCAAGATCTGTAGATAATGAACAGATTACTGGCAATATGAACCAGAAAGCTATTGCGGATTGGAGAAGATATGAACTGGCCACCACCAGGTTGTCCCAAGAATTGGCTGAACAACTTCGTGTTGTTTTGGAACCTACTCTTGCCAGCAGACTTCAAGGTGATTATAAGACTGGGAAGCGAATAAACATGAAAAAGGTATGATTTTGCAACATAATAGTTTATGTGCATAACACTCGATTTGGCTATAAATTTTTCTGTTAACTGACAGCGTTTCCTTTGTCAGGTTATTCCATACATTGCTAGCCATTTCCGGAGGGATAAGATTTGGTTGAGGCGAACCAAACTCAATAAACGTGATTACCAGGTGGTGATTGCAATTGATGATTCACGTAGTATGTCTGAAGGCAATTGCAGTAATTTCGCGATTGAAGCTTTGGTGACAGTATGTCGTGCAATGTCACAAGTTGAAGTAGGACAATTTGCAGTTGCAAGCTTTGGTGAAAAGGGTAACATTACACTTCTTCACGACTTTAATCAGCCTTTCAGTGGGGAAGCTGGAGTCAATGTGAGTACAGGAGCATCTCTTGATACCATAAATGTTTTACTCTTAAAAAAACATTTCTTGATATGCTTATTCGTCTATTTGCTACAGATGATCTCTAGCTTGTCATTCCAACAAGACAATACCATAACTGATGAACCAGTGGTTGATCTGTTGAAGTACTTGACCAACATGCTTGATGCTGCAGTTATAAAAGCACGTTCACCTTCAGGGCAAAATCCTATTCACCAACTTATTTTGATCATAGCTGATGGCAAATTCCATGAAAAGGTATCCTTTAAAAACTCCTCCCGGAAAAATAAAAAAGATCAAACAAAAAAGTGATTACCCTTGTTCTTGGGCTTAGAATAGTTCTTTAAAATGCAGGAAAACTTGAGGCGCTGTGTTCGTAATGTCTTGAACAGAAAGCGAATGATCGCATTTATACTTCTAGATAGTCCGCAAGAATCTATAACGGACTTAATGGTATTGTATAAATTTGCTTTTGCACCTGAATTCTAGTTAAATGTTTACTTTTACCGACAAGGCATGCTAAGTTTCAGTTGAGTTGCTATTGATTTTCAGGAAGCATGCTTTGAAGGCCAAACTCTTACTTTTAAGAAGTACTTGAATGCTTTTCCTTTTCCTTACTATATTGTCTTGAAGAACATTGAAGCGCTACCACGTACTCTAGCTGATCTACTTAGACAGGTGAGATTATTTATCGTTGTAAACTTCTTTGATACTCTATTTGAATTGCATTAGTAGAATCAATATATAAAAATTGAGTCTCCCGATTTTGTTAGTGCCTCTAATATAATTTTCAATTTTGAAAAAAGTTGTGCATCTTATTTGAATTTAACATGTGTAACTTTTACTTATTTTACAGTGGTTTGAGCTTATGCAAAGCATGGGTGAGTGAATTCTGTCGCCAAATGTCTTTTTCAACCTACAACGAAGCTAGCAGCAATTCTTGTTGAAGGAAGCTGTTTGAACCCTGCCATTATTTTTGCTCAGATGACAATTTTTTTGTGTCAACTCCCATGTCGAAGTTAATGCATGCTTTTAAAAATGAAACGGGATAGGACCTGTTTCATAATAACATTCTTGTAGTTGCAAACAAAGTAACAGTAAATGTATACTTACCTTAAACTGTCTTATTTATATAATGCCATTATTTTTCACCAAATGTTGGGAACTAAAGCTTTAGTATTTTCAATGAAAAGTGTTTATAATGATTACTTGTTGCATTTTAAGTTGTTTCAAAATTGGTTCAGTAGTATGTTTACATGACCGTCCACTTCAGAGGCATTTGCATCATCTTAATGTCATAGTTGTTATGAATTTGTCTCAGGAAGATATTATTTTTTTAGCCACATATGGTGGGTTTCCTTTTATCCCCTTGACTGTCGATCGACTATAATTAGTTTTCGTTTGCCTTGTTGAGCTTTGTTACAAGTGTCATATTCCACTTGGATTTTATTGTACAGACAGAAGTTGAGTGTATTATACTAGAAAGAAAATATTCAAATCGTCTAATGTCTGTTCTACTAAACCAGCTGTGTCAATTTTGTTATTTAACATCGCGAGGGAGACAAAGAAGTTTTGGCTTTTAAATCATGAGAGGAAGCAGATGAGGAAGAAGGAAATGGGGAGAGAGTGTTTGAGAAATTTTTCATCCTCAATGGATTGTATATTTTGTTATCAAGTACGGCAGAAAAAATAATATATTGTCCCAAAAGTCAAAAATATCATTTTCCTATGGACTCAATAATATAATTTATAATTTTAACAGAGATTCTGCCTCTCCCATTCAATAGTTGGTTGAGTGAGGTTTATTTTATTTTGGAGTACGAATGCTTCATTTGGTTAATTACATCTTAGGCATTTGATACTTAAGAAAATTTTTGATTAAACTAGTGGTTTCCTTTTCTTTTTTGAAAATAATCAAAATATTGACTAAAGTTTTCATTTTAAAATTCATGAAATTCTTGTTTAAAGTTTTTTGGTCTTTAGGAATTTCAAAGGAAGAGGGAGATCAACTTTGATTGAAATTTTTAGAATGAGAGCTAAGGGAGGAAAAATAGGAGTACTTGATTCTGAGGAGAAACTCTTAGGTACTCAAAACTATCCTATATTGGGCTTTATATTTTAGAATCAAATTTTGTTCAATTTGATCATTTTAATTTAGAATGTTGGGGCTAATATTTCAACAGCACGTATTGGAGGAAATGCCCAGAAGGTGAGGGCTTATAAAGTGATTGAAATTAACATCTGTCTCGGACCCTAGAACTAAGGTGATGACTACTAAGGGATAGTGCATTGAACCTAAGTTTAAAGGAGTGTAAGAGACTTACAAACCACACCTCACATGAGGCGTAGCCGGCCCGACCTCTGAATTTATTGTCCTGCCTGGAAAGGGCCACCAGCTAAACTCATCTATTCTCTTTTAAAATCATGTCGTCCTGTCTCAATGCATTTAAATAGTAGAGAGACTGTTTTTTTTAGAAAGTAGGGTTTACAACTTGCCTTTGAGGCCAAGATGTCTGATCTTGAAGGGTATGCACAATGCTTACTAAAAAAAATATTTTTATTATATAGTTCTTATGTGAGGGCTTTCTATATATGACTCATTGAGCTATGCATGATCAATTTAAATTTTAGAAATTTTGGTTCCTTGAAGGGAGCAATGTAAATTTTCTTATATTTGAAAATCATGAAACCTGAAATTGATTTTAGATTGCTTTTATTTTTAATGGGTAGAAAAATTAGTTTTATCCTAAGAGCCTACTACATTAACATATTTAGTCCACCCACAAGAAAAAGCAAAGAAGAAACCTAAGAAAAATATGTATTTTTTATTGCGCAATCAGGTAAACAAATCAACACATGCTTGTATGTATAAATCAAACATAAGAAATGTAAATTATAGTCCAAATTATTACAATCAAATTTGGTAGCTGAATTGCCTGCAATTATACAACACAGTTAAATATTTATTTATAGACTTTACTTATGGGAGTCTTCAAGCTTTTGGCTTCTAATTAAAATTTGGATTTTACCTTCAGCGGGTACATCTTCTTGATCCTCCTCTTTTAACTGAACCCCCACAAGTTTAACATACAACTTAAATCTAATCAAATACACTTGAAAAATGAAAGGACTCAAACCTACAAAATAGAAGATTAGAAAGAAGTTCATATAATAGAAATGTCACATCCAGAATTTGCTTAGTACTTGAAGTGCTAAGCCCCTATTTCTATCTTATTGGTCATGTCTATTGGGGGGTTTAAGCAGCGCTTGCAAGCAAACAACATTAGGATAATCATGACTTATTTTACCCTCTCTTGGATACGATCACCTGCAAAAAAAAAACATGTATCTCTACTCTATCCACTTAAGGGCAAATGCCCACAATGCAGACAATGACAATATTCATCACACCACATCATCCAACATATTCACAGAAAAAAATCCTAATCCTAGCATGCCTAGGGGCTGTGCACCTAAGTGTGTGACACTTGTGTGGTCTGTCATTACCAGAGGTGTTTGATTTTATTTTAGAATGAAAACGTTTAATCTTTATTCATGGGTGATTTTTCTTTAAGTTGTTTGTGACTTAAATGTTTTATTTGACTTTTAAGTGTTCATATTTAGGAGGGTTAGAAGAACCCATAAAGTAACCACTGCTTGCTTTTAGACAAACTGTTATTTATGAGTCCTATGATACAATGATGCAGCTATTCCACTGGGATGTTATTTAACTTTTTTTTTCATAAATACAAAAAAAATGATGTAGCTATTCCACCTTTTAAGATGGAATGATTATTCGTTGTATCAAAGGGACTTACGTGATTTTTTAAGGATTTTAGAGTTCTCTTAATGTTTGGATAAGAGAGAAATGTCTACTTAATAGGATAAGGTAGATATGCCTAAGGGTTATACTCAGGTCTTGGTGAAATTCACCCAATAGCGTAGGATGAATTTCAACAAATAGAAAATTCCTAAGGGACATCTAAAGGTTATGTTTTAAATGTCATAGGAGAGATCAATTGTTAAATGAAAAAATACTTAGAGTTTGGGTCTAAGAATGAGATATCCAATATGTAGCTTTTAGGCTAGATGTTGGAGGATTCTCCTTAGCTTTTGAAGCTATGGAGAGGAAAAATTCCTACAACTTAGAGGTTGGAGGAAATGAGATGAGACCTATAGCTTTTGAGGTTATGGAAATGGGTGTTTCCTTTAGCTTTGGGCTAAAGGAAAAGAGAGAAGATACCCAACATATGGCTTTTGTGCCAAATGTTTGTGATTTCTCCTTAGCTTTGGAGCTAAGAAGAGGGAAAAATCTCCTACTACGTTGGGGTTGGAGGAAAAGGAGAGGAAACCCATAGCTTTTGAGCTAGGGCAAGGAATCTTTTAAGGCTTTTGGAGCCCATAAAAGTGAGGAAAGATTTATAACTTCGGAGCTATAAATCAAAAGAAATTCTTTGGATTTTTGAGGTGTACAAAGAAAGGTATTCATTTGCCTAATTTGAGGCTAGGCAAATGAGAGATTTTCTACAATTTTGGTTTTGTATAAAATAGAAGGAAAGAATGTAGCTTACGGGCTATCAATTCATGAATGTTTTTTTGAACATTTGGTGTTCAAAGAGATATATTCATTTGCTCAATTTGAAGCTAGGCAAATGAAGTAGTATTGGATGTTTTCCTACTATTTTGAGTTGTAGGAGATGAAGAAGAAAATATAACTCATGGGTTGCAAATTGGAGGATGAATCTTTGAATTTTGCCTCCAATAAGATGTCGTTGTCTACCTAGTTTGGTTAGGTAAATATGAGAAACAACATTCAATTTAGATGTTGCACATTGGAGAAAAGTCTTTGAACCTTTTATTGTTTAAAGAGGTGAATTCTTCCATCCAACTTGGGTTAGGGAGGTGGAAAAGAGGAAGTGCAACTTGGGAGTTGCAAAATATGGAAGATCTTCTTGAACTTTTAGGCATTCAAGGAAAGAGTTGCTCATTCACCTAACTTGGGTTGGGTGAAAGAGAAGCATTTCCTACATCTTTTGGGCTGTAGGAGGGGAAAAACAACTTGCAACTTATGAGTTGCAGGTTGGAGGATGATTCATTGGATTTTGTGTCCAATGAGATGTGATTATCTACCTAACTTTTGTTGGGCAAATAATAGAAAGTGACATGTAGATCCAAACTACAAGCTATAAAAAATCTCTTTGAACTTTTGAGTGTTCAAAGGAAGGAATCCACCCTTCCAATTTGGGTCGGGAAGGATGAGAGGAATGTAGGATTTTGATTTCTATGACTTACTAATATTCTCTCAAACTTACTAAATGTTGTTTGGAAACTTTTATATAAGTTTAGGAAACCTTCAAGCAAGAAGATGGGAGCATTTCTTATGGCTTTTAGGAAAGTTAGAAAATTTTCGACAATTTTGGTTTGTAGGAAAGGGAAGAGAAAATGCAACTTGTGCATTGCAAATTCATTAATGTCTCTTGAATATTTGTTGTTCAAAGGAAGACATACATTCTCCTAATTTTGGCTTAGAAAAATGAGATGATTCGTACAACCTTTGAGTTATAGAAAGAGGGAATTAATATGCAATTTATGGATTGCAAGTTGGTGGATATTCCTTGAACATTTGATGTTCAAAGAGAGATGACTACTTAGTTTAGGCTAAGTAAATGGTGGAATTTTTTTGAGCATTTGGTATTCAAAGAAAGATAAGTGCTTGCTTAATTTGAGCTAAGAAAATTAGGAAGACTAGGATTTGAATCCTATGTATAGAAGATTACTCATTGGTTTTGTGTTCCGATGAATAGGAACGAAGAACTCAGAATTTGGTTCTAAGTTCAAGAAAAAACTTCATTCCATAGAATGTTTGGAACTTTGGGGAGACTCCAAAAGTCATGCACGGAAGAGAGATAGATGAATGTTTGTTGATTTTGTGCTTCAACAAACAAAAGGGTGAAGTGGTTGATCATGCAATGAAGTGTTTGGAGCATTGAGATGCTCCAAATTATTCATGCACAAGAGGGATGGATGTATGTTTGTTGATTTTGTGCATCAGCAAAAAAAATATAGATGAAATGAACTTAGGATTTTGATCATGAGATTTGCTAGTACTTTCTTTGGGTTCTTTGGAGGTTATTTCGAGAACCTCCATGTGAATTTGGAAAGCAAAAAAGCAAGGATATCATTTGTTAGTTTTGTGTCCCAACAAATG